CTTCATATATCAACATTAAGGTGTGAAAATGTTTACTGCCAAATCCCATCGACATGGTGATGAAGATTTGTAGCTCAGGTGGATAATCTTCATGGAGTAGAAGTTTGTGCTGATGATGTCGTTCAGAAGAACGATGAAACCTCCAGCTCACAAAACAAGACTCCATCGAATATTTACTTTTTAAAAAAAACAAATCAAACCTGAAGGCTGGGTAAAACTGGGAAAAACAAAGGGAAAATGCTTTTATCTATCCATAATCATGGTAACTGGCATATCATGTGAGTCATTGAATTGACCTTAAAGCTGAATTCTTTCCATACACACACACACACAATGGTATCGGTCATTGTATTGTGTATTCGTTGCTTCTATTTATTTCCTACTGTGTTTAGACCAATTATAATCCTATTCACATTCCCATTCAATTTTTTCTTCCTATTCCCTTCTCCTAGTTCTTCTATTCAATGTTGTAGGCAATATAAATGAAAGAGAGAAGAATGAATAGACCAATCATTCATATTCTACAAGGTAATTGATTATTGATTATTGTAAAAGATTATTTAAACAATCCATTTGGTCAATTCCAAATGAGGGAAGTCGAGTGATAAAAACATCACTCGATGTGATGTTGTTCAGTATGGTGAAATACACCAGTTGGCTTCTATGATGGAATGGATGGGTAACAATGAATGTTGAATGACATGGGATTCATCCAAATTGACGATTTGGGATTCATACCAACAATCATCGGATCATTTAATGGATGAACAATCTTAACTGATCTATTCCACTATTCCTCTTATTATTATTATCATTAGTATTATTATTATTGTTGAAGGCGTAATGTGCAATAATAAGGTGAGATCATTTGATTCCACACAGTGTGTGTATGTGTGTGTGTGTGTGAATCATGATCACCTTTGTAAACACAATCTCTATCATCATACATAAATCGATACATCCATATATATTCATGGGTATGTTCTAATTGTTTTCATTTCACAAATGGTACTTTCTATTCTCCTCATCAATTGATTTCGAGTGCTTGATCTGGTCAAATTGAATTCATATTCTTCTATATGTGATCACGATCATGATGATGATGATCACGATGGTGATGATGGTGACTTGTTACTATGGACTATTGAATGTGATTTCATTTTTGTTTCATTTTTATATTCTTACATCATTTTCATTTATGGAACTTGTTGTCCATGGAAACCAGCTTTCTCTCATGATCTCAATTGTACACAAATTAATTCATCAAGTTAATATGATCATTGTCTACTGTGAACCGATACTCATGTTACCATGACAATTATACTATTGATTGATGGTTCATTCTTCTTTTCTTTTCTTTATATAATCAATAAAGTGTTGCTTTCTGAATTAAGTTTTCTTCTAAATTGTAAAGATGTCAAGGATTGTTCTTGAGTTGAACAATGAAGGGTGATTTGTTTATACGATATTGTCTATTTATTGAGTATATCTGAGATGTTGTGACGTCGGTCAGAATAGAAGCACGTGGAATGAAGACTGGATTAATCGATTTCGATGAGGAAGTGTCTATTTCTCTAGGTAGATTTCAAGTGACAATTCTTGTAATAGTTGAATAGATAAGTATTGTCATTCGACAGTTGCGTTAAACACCTTCATCGTCGATAAGTATTATGTTCTAAGCAATAAACCAAACAACATTCAGTAGTATCTTACTAATCACATAAGCCCCCGAATGCCCCGGTACGATCGAGGTTGTGGAAAGTCTACTCTCCCTCTCTAAATGCTCTCACGTGGCCACGCGTATACAGCCACTACCAGGGAACTCCTACTCACTGATTTCTCGCAGCAAGGGTGTCGTTTATGAAATTGAGGGAATGAAAAGAGAATGTCCGTCTCTTTAACCAGGTTAGTGGATTCAGTGAATCTACTTAAGGAGGTAGGAAAACCCTAATCCCAAACAAATGATGTGCATGGGCTTCAGGATCCTGAGCAAACAAATGGTGAATGAGTCTATATTCGTGATTTGTGTGGCTCATTTTTTCATTCTACATTGACACAATGATCATCTGATAAACCTTGAATAATCCTTAATAAAATAAGTGAGCTTACTAATATGATTTATCACAATACAAACATGACATATCTCCTGAAGATGATGATTGAAAAATCCTGTCCAACCTTATGTTGATCACTGTGTATGATTGTTTGTAGCTATGTCAATGATGTAGTGATTTTAGGGAACATTTAAATACATCTATATGAATAAGGGATCCTCGTACTCCACTCCTCTCAAGACGACAACACTCATTGATGATTTGACATTTCAGTCAGTTGTGTTATACGAATATTATTTCATACAATTCAACTTTACATCGTTAATATTCTTCGGTTATATATAAAACGAATTACAAACATCTCGTTACAACGTCAAATTAGATCTTTTCTGAAGTTCTACTGTATATTATAGAGGAGACATCGAAAGTTCTATTTGACTTCAAGTACTAGTTTGACTTGTCAACTTCTTCAGAAATAGATTCGATCCGTTAAACAATCATCCAAGTCAGTGAATGTTAGTTCGAGAATTAAAGATATTACATTACAATAGATACAAGCAGTGATCTTATTATCAAATATAAATATTCTTGAGTCATCTAACAATTAAGTAGTACATTCTGACCATGAATACAATCATCAAATTCTTAAAACTGTCAATTACTATACAAGCAAAGATGAATAGTGGCTCGCAATGGAATCCAGTTTGACGTGCATTTCGTCCCATTTGGGACTCTTCAGCTGGATGCACCTGTCACATCTCAGAGTTGATGTCCACTCTCGGACTCAAACCCACTACTCCTAGTTTCAAACCCCATCGCGTTATCCACTCATCTACTGAGTCCTGATGGCCACCTGCTTGTCCAATGTGGTAAAGTTCAAATTCACTTAATATAGTTTTACATAAATCTTCCCATTGATATTTAGTACAACAGTTGATCAGTCTCTTATTGACATATGTGCCTACTGTATGGATTTCCTCGATACTGTCTTAAGTTACAAGTGTTATAAGTTAACTATATGGATGACGTTTGAAGTAAACGGTAATCGGTTCGAGTCCTAGAGTGAACATCAACTTAGTGGTACAGGCACGTCCAATTGACGAGTTTCAACTAGAACAAAACGCGAATCCTAAATTCTACTGTTAGCCACTATCCATCTTAGCTTATAATGTACACAATTTGCTAACAGAATTAGTGACTGACTGTTTAAATGAATGAATAAGAAACCTCAGTCATGTCACAATACAAGTTATAAACCTATAGGTTAACGAATCTAATTGTTTACTGGTTTCAATTTCAATCATCACTATTAACATGTACAAACTTTAATTGTTGCTAGAGCTTTGAAATAATCTCAGTGATTGAAATTGAAATGAAAAACCAGTATTTCATCCGTTGAGCTTCTTTAATCTTTACATGATAACTTAATCATCATTACTGTTGATATGGAAGTGTATACCATTGATAAAAGGGAAGCAAATAAGATAGAATAAGCTCAATTTCATAAAAAAAACAACTTAATTTCATTGAATCATTATCACTTTCTGAGATGGTGGAGAAGATTTGTAGCTCAGGTGGATAATTTTGATGGAGTTTTGTTCTCTGAGGTGGATGGTTTGGTTGTGAAGCTTTCATCGTTCTTCTGAACGACATCATCAGCACAAACTTCAGATAGAAGTGAAGTGTTGATGATGTCGTTCAGAAGAACGATGAAAGCTCCACGACCAAACCATCTAGCTCAGAGAACAAAACTCCATCACAATTATAAACTTCTGTTATATCCCGATAAGCATAATGAATGGTAACTTTTGGGATCCATTTATGAACCAATTCTATACGTGTAATTGTTAAATAACTAAACTATTCATATCCGTGTCCCTCTCATTGTGTTTTATTTTGACCCATTAACTATTATTATACGTTTTACCACTCTTGACTTATACCCAGTATATTAGTCACTGCCTCCCAAATTCGCAGCCACATCTGGCTAATTCTTGTACAAATGTTGTTCCCTATTATATGGTGTGATGTGGTCTGTTTGGTTGGTTGGCTGAGATTGGTGTTCTGGGCTCAACAAGCAGAGCTAGGCAGGACCGATAACGACTCTAGACTGTTTGTACTTGTTCGCTCGATAAGTCACTGCTCTCTAATCGGTAGTATCATTACGTTATCCATTAACAAGGCATACAGGCCACAAGTCATAACAACTTCATTGAAATCACTAATCAATCTAAGTTAGACAACTATTAAAAGTCTTAAAGCATTAGATTATCGTTTAGTTCTTGTATAGGACTCTTAAAAACAATATTCAACCATAGCCTACACATCCAAGGAATTGAAACTCCAGACGGTTAGTCTTGCTCACAACTCAAGTCTAATTTGGATAGTGTTGAGTCGGCTTTCCGAGAACTGCAACGGAGCCTACAGAGGCCCAAAAGGAGCCGAATAGTCCTAGCCAATCAGAGTATGATGGAGCTTTGTAGAATGTCAACGTGGCGTGCTACTATTGGTCAGTAGCATAATATGTCTTTTAGCGGATTGGCTAAAATATGATATTGATTTAACAACTGTTAACATCTATAAATACCCGTGTTTTCTGTACAAAAGTGAACCTTGCAGTAAAATATTTTCTCCCATACTTTGCGTCCGCTCTCTTATGTTCAGGTTGCTGTATAGTTCTAGCTTGGGAGTTACAGAATAGGTTAGGAGATGAATATAGTGTTCAATTCGCAAGACTTATCAGATAGATTCCTGATATCAGTGAAGGTTTAACATTATCCTCTAATGACAATCTAAATTAATTTAAGACAAGTAAAATATTCATTTAATGAAATTGTTCATTTCAAATGTAAAAGACAATAGGAACTTTCAAATGTTGAAATCAGATCGAATTTCTTTTTTGTTTTGTTCATCATCATCAGTTCGTCCCATTCTTTTGTTTACTCATCAATGAATTGCATAATCCATTTCCATAATTCGATCCAAACCAGAAACCCCCTATTAGAATTGAAAATAGAAATATAGAACTAAACAATACAATTTGAATAGACTTTATGATTATCAATTAATTGAATGATCCATTTCAGGTAAGACAAGACTCTAAACATCAATCACTATTGATCTAACTAAATAAATAAAGATTTAACTGTTATATTATAGTGTGTGCTACTTATGATTGACATCAGTAGTATATAACATTAATCCGGAATAGAATATCTAATAGCAGAAGGTTAAGAAGATCAAAGAGGAAAGAATGGGAATAGAAAGAAATGGGTATAGAAATGCAAGAACAATGAAGTATGAGACGATTAGCTGATATTTACAAAAGGAACAGTGAAGTTTGAAACAATTGGTTCTCAGATTTTACTGAGATATTTTGTAATTTGACGTTCAAACATATTCGATTGTTCTCACTTGTGTTCTTGTTCACTACAATTGCTAGGCCACTGAGCCGGCACCCGGCGGTGCTAATGTCTAACTTCAACCAATCCACGAAGTTGCGCCACCTTATACCATTGTCTTCAGTGAGCTGATATCCCACAACAGACTCAGTGGTCTGGTGGTTAAGTGTTCGCGCGCGAAGCCAGTAGGTCTTGGGTTCGAATCCCGCGGGGCGCGGGGTTGTGGATGCTTATGATATTCAACTTAGTCACTTCTTAGTTCAAAATTACTTGTGATGTGTGCTACTGAAATCGAAAGATATAAGTAGTGTGTATCATCAATCGACAGTGAAATTCCTAAAAGCAGAAGGTTAAGAAGATCAGAAAAAAAGAGAACGAGAACAAAAACTGATTGGTGTAGAAACGAAAGAACAATGAGGTCTGAGATGATTGATTGACATTTTGCAAATGAAGTATTCACTGTATAGTTCTTAGATTTGACTAAGGGAATCTGTAATTTGTGTGTTCAATTACATTCGATTGTCCCCAATTACATGTTCTTGTTCACTACAACATTATTTGTTTACTGTTGACATGACTACTTAAATGTTATAAGAAATGGGTCATGCTAAATATTAAACAATTTGATAGTTTAATAGTTGAATTCATGAAGCTAAACTACTATGGGAAACTTGGAAGCACTGGACGGCAGTTTCGTCCTATAATGGGACTCTTCCATTTGATGATTAAAGGATGAAAAGTAAATAAACTGAATTGTACAGTTCATGAGTGGTTGTCACTTGAGTTATTGATTGAAACTCATACAGAATGATTATATACCTACCTACCTGCCTACCTACCTACAAGCCTATCTATCTACCTACCTACCTACATACATACATACAAGAACCAAGGAAACAGTAGAATATACTTACTCTTGGATAGACACCTTCATCAATATTGAATTCTTTTGATCGAATTTCTAACTTTTCAATGATTGCAGCCATTCTAGTTGTTTGTAATTTAGTTTCTTTGTCAATAGAAGTTATTCTGATATTTTATACATAGAAACACCAATGTCTATTATGATGAATATGATCAAATAGTTATTCATAGTCACAAAAATAAAGATGGGTCCATATCAACGAAATTCACATATATAATACATATAACTGAAGGAGAAAAGCATGTTTACCGTAAATTTCTATATTAGACTAGTTAGTTACTGGAAAATCCTCATTTGTTTGTCTATTTGACACAGTTCGATTTGTTCCTTATTCACTTTGTAAGAAACATACAAATATTTCTTAGTGAGCCACTCCCTAAGAATTTAACCTAAAGGTCTAGTCCACAAAGTATTGGAGCAATGTCAGGAGATGCAGTCCCATGGTAGGCGGTGACCACCGATTGATTCATACACCATTTGTTCCTTCAGGATCCTGGACTCCATGTACATCAATGGTTTGGAATGAGGGTTTTCTAACTGCCTTAGATGGATTCTCCGTGTCCACTAACCCGGTTAAAGCAACGACCATTTGCTTTCCATCCTCTCAATTTTGTGAAGAACAATAATGGCGCGAGAAGGCAGTGAGTAAGGGTTCCCTGATAGTGGTTGTATACGCGTGTTCATGTGAGAGTATTTGGAGTGGGAGAGTTGACTCTCCCCACCCTTACTCGTACCAGGGCATTTAGTAGCTTATTACCATCTTAGCTTGGAAACGAACGATCTCAAATATCAAAAACCTGATTTCTTGTCTGATAACAACCGATGAATATTTTACACGTATCAGTTGGACAATTTGATGTCATCCTCTTCGTTATTATATAAACTCTTCTATATAATGTATTTGTTGCCTGAAAATATAAGTAGTTTAATAGTAATTAAATATAATGGAATCAGGGTTTGCTTATATTAACATGACAAAACTTATTTTTGAGCAGCAAACATGATGATTATTTCAGAAAGATCTTATAATTTTGTCGAGAAACGCTTCTTTGCTGATATTTTGCATGATTAATTTATACTACTTATTAACTAAGAAGTAGTCTATTCATGTAACAGTTATTTACCGACTTGTAGGTTGCAGAAAGTACTCCGTTTTGGGTCACAACTGTCTTGTCTAACCGTCAAACATAATTCATCCTTCATTTCTGATAAATAAATAAATAAATATACATATATGTATCAAAACTGTCCCCTGGTCTTATCCTTGCTTTTTTCCATTGAAGTATTTCATTAACTTATAGACCGAGTATTCTTCAGAAGTAAAAGTTCTCATATCAAAGTCATTTCGCTAAATTTGAACTAAGTTCCTGTTACAATTTCGGGATTAAACTATATCTGAGATAAAACGCTTTCAGTTTCTTTCCCAGTTACACATCGTAAACAAATTTCTTTGATTCGTTTTGGGGAGGTCATGGAATTAAACAGCAAAACACTTAACTCATTTTATTAATTTCATTGTAAGATGCCATAGATTTACGAAAAGATGATCAGAAATCTGACTGACTTTAGAATAGTAGATGTCTACGCATGATATTGAATAGAAGATAAATGTCTATCAAATAACTTTTATAATGAAGATTTCCACTGATTCCAAACACCTCCAGGTTGCATCTTTTTATTTCTTCAGCAATTTGGATGACTCCCCCGGTCATCCACGTTGTACGAGAATTCTATGCACCTAAATTAATGGTTGCTCTAGGTGTCAGAAGGGTCATTAACCTTGTGACATCCAAAGGAATTCAGCTTCCATCATAAGGCTTCAAAAATCTTTTAAATGAGGTCCTTCTAACTTCCAAGGCAGACTTTAAATGGTTTGAATTATTTTTTTCTGGTTAGCGTTTTTTACCGAGTTTGTTTTTCACAGGCTGGAATCACTAAACCCATGCCAAACCTTCTGCTAGGTTTAAAGCGGTTACGGGTTCACTTAGACTACGGACGAAACAAAGACTCGGTGACCGAAAACCAATAAGCTAGCTGTTTGATGAATCCTAGCCCCGCTAGCTAAAGAGAGAAGTCCAAGTTCGAACGGGGAAATATAACCTGCTTGGAATGAGGAAGTGTATTACTCAAACGGCCAGAAGCATGAGCGATAACAACAAACACAAATCAAAACATATATATACAGCACAAAACCGTCCCTGGGAAGCGTTACTAAATAGCATACTAATAGACACAACGGACCAATAGCATTTAAGATTCTCCCAAGTGGGAAGTACGAAATGAAGGTGAAAATGAGCGCTTTTGGCGCGAAAACAAAGAAATTCAAAGTTTCAAAATAAAATTACAAAATTAGGACCTTTTCTAAGTGATTTCTGGGGATCTAACGTCCCCAACATCCTCCTCCTGTATCCGAGCTTAGGACCGACAGTAGCCCCAGAGGGGTCCCAGGTGGAGTTCTTATAAAAATTATTAAGAGCTATATTTGAAATTTCTATTACAAACAACCATTTACACCTTGCATGTAATGTTGAATTAATCAGAAATACAATTAGAAGTGATTTAAGCTCATAAACAATAAGATGATTAGTATAAGATTTTTGACTGAGATCATGAACCGATTGATGTTAGACCAGCACCTTTGGAAACCTTGAAGCACCGGACGACCGTTTCGTCCTATTATGGGACTCCTCAGCAGTGCGCATCCACGATCCCGCTCGCGGGATCACAAGTAACTAGCTTCGTGAGGGAATTCTCGGAGTTCTAGTGAGAAGCCGTGATCAGTGGAGCTAATCCATGTCGGGTAGAGACAGGTATCTACCTCAGTACAATGGAAGTTGGTCGCGCAATTTTGTGGATTGGTTGATGTTAGACACTATTACCATTGGATGCCGGCTCAGTGGTCCAGTTGGTTAAGCGTTCGAGCGCGAGACCGAAGGCTCTGGGTTCGCATTCAGCGAGCGGGATCGCGGATGCGCACTGCTGAGGAGTCCCACAATAGGACGAAACGGTCGTCCAGTGCTTCCAGGTTTCTAAAGGTGCTGGTCTAACATCAATCGGTTCATGATCCCAATCAAAAGCGTAATAATCTCCACAACCCCCATACTAGTATCATATTTCTTAGTACGGTTAATTTGACCGAATATTGTAAAGGTATTTTATTGTAAGTATAATAATGCCTCCCGGAGTCCATCTACAGTTACATCTGGTCCTAAGTAGAAAGACTGAGTTTATGGTTAGCAATCCAACCTCGTAAAAAAGAACCTGGCTAAAACACTCTAACTTGTGCACATTAATTAAGCTATTTAAACTATCGCCTACTATTTGAAGGGTTCCTACATAGAACAGTTATAACGCCTTATGATGAAAGTCTAAATGATTCATGTCACGAAACCAACCCTCCTTCTGATAACTAAAGAACCAATTAATATAGATACATAGAATGTCATGACAACATAGCTGACCGGGACGGTCACTCTAATTGCAGTAGAAATAAGAAAATACAACCTGGCTCTCTGGATTAAACGAAACTCATTAGACACAATCTGGATAGAAAAGAACACCTTCAAGATTGATGTTATTGTATTATCATCACAAAGAATATAATCCCTTACATACACAAGGAATTTCACTGATGCTATCCAAAGTAGCACGAAAAGTGCTTATTGTATGGGTTATCAGGGCACTGTTCAAAACAAGAAATGATAGGATTATAATGAATGTCACCCAGTGCTACTCACCAACCATGGATAGCTGCAAAGATGATAACAAAATCCTGGTTTAACAATGACTCGGAGTAGGAAACGAGTATGATTTGAGACTAGCATAATATCTTTCTACTTTCTTTAACATAGTCATGGATAAGCGAGTTTCACAACACACCATGGAGAACTAGGGTAACCGCATCTACCTAAATAACAAACCCAAAAGATTCATGAGGAACGTAACGAAAAACGAAGAGAGGAGATATAGCTTCATTATCTATTGATGGTCGATACGGTAAAATTTAAGCTAAGGAAGGATTGGATATTTGGACAAGTAGCACTACAAAAGTTCAATGTAACCTATCTCTTAGATAATAACAACCTCAGAGAGCTCAAGATAGTTTTCACCAACAAGTTTCAAGTCATTCAGAACCTACTAGAAGAGGAGGAAATCGCTATGAAGAACAAATGGAAATAGATTAACCAAGTAAACATTTCTACGTATCAAGAAGAACTGGGTCCAAAGAAACACCAACATAGAGAATGGGTTTTTGTCGACATTCTGCCCAAGATTCAAAAAAGAAAACAAGACAGCAGTTAACAACAGCCGAATAAGAGAAGAGACGGTCAACCGACAGACCGAATATGCAGAATAAAATTAACGAGTGGGGAGGAGCATCGGAGACGACCAGCATAAATATGTCGATTTGGCAACTATAGCAGAACACTCCATAAGAGAAGAGAATGTTAAGGAACTGTATTATACAACCAAGAAGCCAACAGGAAAATGTAATAGATCAGGATAACCAGTCAGGATCAAATAAAAGGAATCAGTCACTGAGATTCAAGAGTAGAAGAACTGGTGGTTAAAGAGCTTTGAAGAACTCTTGAATAAACTAGAGTATATATTAGCCCACAGATGGTACCTTACCGACAATAGAGGAAATTAGCAAGACCAATAGACAAAAATATTGATCCATTTGGATCAGACACCACATCACCTGAAGCATTGAAGATAAACCTTATCCTCTCCAAACTACGACATAAACTACCATTGTTGAATAAGAAACTGAATGAAACTCGTCACAATACATCAACTTGCTTGATTATTGGACAGTATTCGACAGAGGGAATAAAAAAACCTTGTGGGATCTTTTTCGATATTACAGTGTACCTAGAAAGATTGTCACTATCATAAAAAATTCCTACAACTGACTGAATCCCATAGTTATGCATAAAGAGCAGTTTATTAATGGATTTCAAATGAACACTGGTGTCAAATAAAGCTGTAAAGGATCATTGTTTTTCTCACTTTTTAACTGCTTCTTTAAGATACTTTTGTATTAGATTTTCTTCATATGTCGTTTCGAATCCAGATTTATCTAAGAATCCCTATAAAAAAATGAAAACAAATAGTTTCAATTTTTAAAAAAATCCTCACAACCCCATACTGATAGTTACTATGTGTACACTCGTGACTAATTTCGTGAAGGAATTCTTGGAGTTCTAGTGAGAAGTCATGATCAGTGGAGCGAATCCATGTCGGGTAGAAACAGGTATCTACCTCAGTACAATGGAACATGGTCGCACAATTTTGTGGATTGGTTGAGGTTAGACATTAACACTGTTGAATGCCAGCCAGTTAAGTGGTCTAGATGTTAAGAGTTCGCGCACGGAACCGAAGGTCCTGGGTTTGGATCTCGTAAGAGGGATCGTGGATACACACTGTTGAAGAGTCCCATACTAGGACGACACAGTCGTTCAGTGCTTCCAGGTTTTTCATGGTGGTCTAGGTTCAATTGACTGATCAATTAAACTATTAAATTACTAAAATCTGTACAAAATCCCTCCCTGACTAACATGTGCTCTCCGTTTCTGGGTGTTACGTAATTTGTACTGTACCATTTATCTACTTAAAGAAACAGTGAACTAGTAGAAGTATTAAGAAAAAGGTTAGTTATACGTGTCTATCAAAAGGAATGAATATTTTGTTGGTCTATAAATATAAGCATGTTTAGTTCAATAGTTAAACTCATGCGATATGAACCCAAAACCTATCGGTCCTAAATACGAATCCCACAAGCGAGGTTGTGAATATGTACTGCCGAGGAGTCGTATACTAAGACGAAACAACCACTCAGTGATTCTAGGTTTTCCATAGCGGTCTAGCTTTAATTGAGTCATCAATTCAACTATTAAACTACTACAATCTCCACAAAATCCCCTTCTGACAATATTCAATTCGTACGCATAAAAGAAAAAATCTTTTGTTATTGAATAATTTAGTGTTATTTTGTGATGGTTAATAGTTGAGTGAAGTTCCACATAGATTCTTACGATAAATCATTGAATAGAATCTTGTGAACTCATCAAAATAGATCACAAAAAGATGTAAACATTAATCAATAGGTGCCGGGTTCGAATCTCGTGAGTCAAGATCATGAATGCGCAATGTTGAAGAGTCTCACAGTAGGACCAAAACAGCCATCCAATACTTCTAGATTTTCAATGATAGTCTAACATCAATCGATTCACGAGTTAAACTTTATTATTATTATTTCAACACATAAATATTGGTACAAGAGGGCACCAAATATATATGCGCCACACCATATTTGCGTATGTGGGCTGTGATACTGCCCGGGTGCTCGGACTGAAGCAGGTGGTTATCTTAGGGGACCACACCTCGAGCCTTTGACCTTAGAGTGGGGCATCGTGAGGAGATGCAATCCCGTGGTAACCGGTGACAAATAATTGGTTCATACGCCATTTGTTCCTGCAGGACACTGGAACTCATGTGCACCATTGGTTTGGAATCCGGTTAAATCGCCGAATATTCGCTTGTCATCCTCTCATTTTTGTAAACAACAGCAACGCCACGAGAAGGTAGTGAGTAGGACTTCCCTGGCAGAGACTGTATACGCGTGGCCGTGTGAGAGCATTTCGAGAGGGAGGGTGGGCCCACCCCGCTCTCGGCCATACCAGGGCATTTGGGGGCTTTCAACTACTACTAATAACCATCAAAATAAAAACACAACCTCCTTCTTTTTACTTACTGTAGTCTTATTTAATTTAGTTTTTTTCATCCAATTTGATTTATATAATTTAGAACGAAATATTCCAGTTAATTTTGGTTCTAAATCAGCTAACCAATAAACTTGTTGAGAGATTAAATGTTGTACAGCACTTCTTCGAACATTTTCAATATCACCAACAGCTAAACCAATCTTAAGAATAAACAATATGATCCATTGGTTAATATAACAGAATATCATATATATCATATATAGCATATGTATATCATTGAATCTTATTGAGAATATGAGTTTCTATAGTCAATCATAGCAGATATATCGAGGCTAAATGTGATTTTCAATGATCTGGATCATCGCATTATTGATATTTTGATTGGAATTCAAGTTATGTGAGGGATAGGATATTGCCTAGAACGATCTAGACTTTGCAGATGATTTGGCTCTTCTATTGTAAACGCAATAACAAATCCAAGGACAAGACGACCAGGGTAGAAGCAGCAGCCTCAAAAGCAGTAGGTTTCAATATACATAAAGGGATGGAAAGCAAGATTCTCCGATACAACACGGCATGTACCAATCCAATCACAATTGACGGAGAAGATTTGGAAGACTTTAAAACCTTTACATATCTGGGCAGCATCATTGATGAACAGGGTGGATCTGATGCAGATGTGAAGGCGCGGATCGGCAAAGCAAGAGCAGCATATTTACAATTGAGGAATATCTGGAACTCAAAGCAACTGTCTGTCAACCAACACCAAGGTCAGGATTTTCAATACAAATGTCAAGACAGTTCAACTGTATGAGGCGGAAACTTGGAGAACTACGAAAGCCATCATCCACAAGATACAAGTGTTTATTAACAGTTGTCTACGCAAAATATTTCGGATCCGTTGGCCGGACACTATTAGCAATAACCTACTGTTGGAGAGAACAAACCAGATCGCAGTGGAGGAAGAAATCAAGAAGAAGCGCTGAAAGTGGATAGGACACATACTGAGGAAAGCACCCAACTGCGTCACAAGACAATCCCTCACATGAAATCCCCAAGGCTAAAGGAAAGGAGGAAGACCAAAGAACACATGACACCGATGAATGGAGACAGACATGAGAAGAATGAACAAGAGTTGAATAGAACTAGAAAGGAAGTCCCAGGACAGAGTGTGTTGGAGAATGTTGGTCGGTGGCCTATACTCCATTTGGAGTAACAGGTGTAAGTATATAAGTATGTAAGCCCAAACCGGAGCAGGTGGTTTTCTTAGAGTGCCATACTAGGAGCTTTTGACCTAAAGTTCTGGTCCATAAGGCAGTTCCATAGTACACAGTGACCAACAATAGGTTCATACACCATTTGTTCGCTCAGGATCCTGGAACCCATATACACCATTGATTTAGAATCAGGGTTACCCAACTTCCCTTTAGGTGAATCCTTCGTGTCCGTCAACCCGGTCAAAGCGACAGACATTCACATTTCATCCTTTCACTTTCTTAAACAACACCCTTGTGACGAGAAGGCAGTAAGTAGAACTTCCCTGATAATGATTGTATTTACGTGTTCATATGCAAGTATTTGGTGAGCAAGAGAGTTGACTCATCTCATCCTCAATCGTACCAAAGTATTTACCAACAGTTCTACATTTCAATTCTTAATTGATTGATCACTGAGTGGCGATCAATGTTATGCATGTCTAGTCCTTATTAGTGAAGCTGGGTGACACAGGATCAAATCCGTCAGGCAGCACTAGTTCCCTGAAGCAGTAGCACAAAACCCGAGTCCAGGATTTCCTGTCGATTACCTCCAAACATCATCTAACATTTGAATTCTTCGGCAATTCTTATACAATTCAACTTTAGATTTATAACATGGTTATCAAAGATCATCGATATATATGAACTTACTAATAAATTCATTAATATAATTGGTACAAGAAATATAAATGTTGTATAGAAAAAGAATGTTATCAATGGATAATGTAATTGAAATGATTGATTTCCTATATATGGTTCTATAATAGTTGCTGTATGCTCATATTCACCTAACATCATCATTAATGTTTTAAATAATGATAAACTTAAATATTGAAATGGTTTCAATTCTAATGATATTGATAAATTTGTTTTATTATTATTATTATTATTATTATTAAAATCAATATCATGAATTATTGGAAAACAATAATCGATTATTGATTGATTCAATGATGATGATGATGATGTTATTGTGTCCTAAAAATCAATAATTTGGAAGATGAATTAGATGTTCAATAAATAGAATATAAAATCAATATTCAATTAAAACTATTACATAATATTACATAATTAGAGAGTTGAGAGAAGGGGGAGGGGGGTGTTGAGATCATAAGTCAATTATGAACTAGACTATCATTGAAAACTTGGAAGTATTGGATGACCATTTTATCTTATTGTGGAACTTATTCAATTGTATACATTTTACGATTCCATCCAGTAGGATTCGAACCTAGGACTTATTAATATGTCACATGACGGTGTTAATGTCTAACTTCAATCAACTTCCACGATATTACACCATCGTTCAACATTGTTTTCAATGAGTTATTATCTCACAATAGACCTGGTTGAACTCCACTGGTCATAACTTTTAGAGGTGAAACATATGTTCTGGGTAATAATCCCGCGAGGTGACATTTGTGAATGTGCACTTTTAAAAAGTAGTGTAACACAAATTGATCAAGTAGTATAAGTTACTTATTATTCAATGATGAATCCATTGACTTAATCCAATATCAAGCGGTATAATAGAAAATTCTAACAATGAATGAACAGATATTGACTGTTAAACATACTGAGGATCATCTTTTTATGCATCGGAAGTTTGTCATATTATGAATATGTCTAGAAGAAAAACTATTCACATATGTAAACTCAACCAGTCTACATAATACCTTTATGTTATATCTGGACGAAGAATAGGTGAATAGAAACTGTTAAGAAGTACTTATAGAGTAATATGATACGTATGTTCTTAGTGTATAACTATTAGGTGACTCTATTATATGTATATTCATATTCCATTCATTATAAGCTTAATAGATTAATAGAAGGTAACTAAACTATGTATTCACTTGGTACTGTTTTTACTTGAATCTTCCCATTGATGTTTAGGACTGCAGTTTCACTCCTGGATTCCATTGCTAGTCACTATCCATCTTTGCTTATTATACTTGTAACTTAAGACAGTATCGAAGAAATCCGTACAGTAGGCACATATGTCAATAAGAGACTGATCTATTGTAGTACTAAATATCAATGGGAAGATTTATGTGAAACGATATTAAGTGAATTTGAACTTTACCACATTGGACAAGCAGGTGGCCATCAGGACTCAGTAGATGAGTGAATAACGCGATGGGGTTTGAAACTAGGAGTACTGGGTTTGAGTCCCAGAGGGAATATCAACTCTGGGATGCAGGTACATTCAACTAACGCGTTCCAAGTAGGATGAAACGCGCGTCAAACTGGATTCCACTATTGGCCTCTATCCACCTTTGTTTATAAACCATTTATATTCATATTCCTTTCATTATAAGCTTCTATCTGACCTATTAACTACCATTATATAATCTACTATTCTCAAGTTATTCTCAATCTATTAGCTACAGTCTCTCATAATCAAACCCACTTTTCGGCTTGATCTTGTACAAATATAATCTTCTATTTATAGTGTGATGTGATCCGGTTTTGCTTGTATATAAACTAAGTATGTTTGAAATGTATGACTCGACATACCGGTGACTGAGATTGGAGTTGGGAACACTAGATTGTTCGTACAGGTGTATACGTCATTAGTTTGGTCGTATAATTGACCTTATCTAAATTGGCAGTTGTATTTTACGATAATCGTATATGCTAAGGGTATAACAAGTTTAAAATATCTGATTCAATACAACGGAGACTGAGATTGGCTTTCGGAACTGTTTCGGCTAGGTTAGAAGATAAGCTACTATATCAAGGACTCTAGACTGCTCGTAAAAGTTTATGTGTCATTGATCCGGTCGATGAATTACTGTTCTCCAATTGGCGATCATATCGCTATACAGTTAACAAGTCACAGGCTACAACACATTATCAGAATATTCAAACACACGATGTACATCATGAACTAAAGTGTTTACAGTTTAAGAAGTAAACTTACTGAATAACTGGGAGCTCGAAACAAAACATGAAATGACAGTGCGAATGCAATAAACACCACAGAGAATACAACTAGACACTTTCCAACAGTTGCAAATACATGCAAAAACATGACAACAAATATTCCAACATGTTTAAATCTGAGCAAAATACATAAAATAACAGGAAAGCATAGATTTCAGGGTAGCTATTAAGTTGCAAATAAATTCATTCTAATTTAATAGTTGAATTCATGGGTCAATTAAAGGTAGAATACCATGAAAAGCCTGGAAGCACTATTCGGCTGTTTTGTCCTAGTGTGGGACTCCTCGGCAGTGCGCATCTATCATCCTGTTCGCGAGATTTAAACCCAGGACCTTCGGTCACGCGCGCGAACGCCTAACCTTTAGACCACTGAGCCGGCTGGCATTAGATGGTGCTAATGTCTGACGTCAACCAATCCACAAAATTGTGCGACCATCTTCCATTGTACTGAGGTAGATACCTGTTTCTACCCACCACGGATTAGCTTCACTGGTCACGGCTTCTCACTAAAATTCCGAGAATCCCCTCACTAGTGAGCACACGGTAATTATTAGTATATGAGTTATGGAGATTATTAAGTTTTTACTTGAGATCATGAACCGATTGATGTTAGACCACCATTGAAAAACTTGGAAGCACTGGACGAGTGTGTCGTCCTATTGTAGGACTCCTCAACAGTGCACATTGACGATCCCACTCGCGAGATTTGAAGTTGATTTGTAAATGGTTACATATTTCCGGGGTCTGTGTTAAATAATTCAAGGAATGAATTAATCGAAGTTGAACCGATTGATACTGGATTTGAAGTTTTTAGATGAATCTCATTACTTAGATAGAAGTATATCTAACAAAAAGTCCAATCCTTCTATTTTATAAAATTCGATACAAAATGTCTATAAGCGATACCATTTGAACTTTATGGACATATGACAACGAAAATTGAGAAAGATTCAATAAATATTGTCAACAATAAGATCATTGAACCACCTACTGATAATGATCTAAATAGAAACTATTGGGAAGATTCAGAAAATTTCTCGAAAAAACGTCTCCCCCCCCAAGGGCTTCAAAAACTCTGAGAAGCATCGTATCCAATCAGCGTTCAAGAAACATCTAGAAAGTCAAAAGTTATATGTCATGTTTCTAATTGAATGAATACTTATACTGATATTATGTTTAGTAGCATTCCTGAATTTTTCGGAAGCCCAGGGCCATCTAAAATGCTAAAAAAAACTCTGGGGAGACCATAATTTATGACTGACCTCTGAACGACCCTTAAGTTGCCTTGAGAAATATTAGCCAATCAGAAAACAGTAAGTATAGAGTAAAAATATATTATACCGAATCAAGGAAATAAAGTGAATACTCTTCTTAGACGTGGTTCAAAAACTTGTCAAGGTTAGAAAGAGGTTCAGTGGTTCTAAAATTGTAATGCATGTAGTAGAGGAAATCATCCATACGGCTACAGAATAGTTGGACTCTGTAGCCATGATAAAGTCTCAAAAACTCTTTCAGACTCCACCACACAGCTTTAATATTGTTTATGTGTACTTCGGCTGTTGAGTACACAAAGTGCTACTTGTGGATAATGACATGATGCACATAACCAAGTCTATGTAGGCATTTGTACGCCCTCCAATTATCATTATATATTGTAGTACCTTTCTGCGGCCAGTGTTATTGGTGCTTTTATTATCCAGTTTGTCTTAGTCTTAATCTGGATCGAGTGAAAAAAGTTCCTATTCTAACAAACGTTTTCCTCTAATATATGTCACATCGAAAGACAATATCATCACGTTAGTCTACACAAAGGTTCACAAGTCATTTGACTACCATAATCACAAATAAATGAAACTTCTTAGGAATCTTTTATGTTGTAACTGCTTAGTTATCCCATTTTCTTTAAAATCCTTTATGGACCGATTATATGTAAGCATCAAGTACTGGAATGGGCGCCGTGACTTTGAAATCTTTCAAATGTTTCTAACTGACTCATTCATAAATTATAGTTTAGTCTAAACCTTCATTTTTCGGTACATAAACGAACCTTTGAAGTAAATCATTTCTTTCATATTTCACACCTCCTCTAACTGACTCAATCACTCACTCACTCATATTCAAGTTCTAGTGTAGATCTAACCTGAGGCTTCTTAGTAAAACTTAGGAGACTGAATCTTCCATTTCTAATTTATTTTTTATTTTAACACATATATATTGGTACAAGGAGGCACCAACTATAAATCAAATGAAATTTGTGTGAGGGCTGTGATACTGCCCGGGTGCCCTAATCTAAGCAAGTGATTTTGATAGGGGGCCACACCCGGAGCCTTCGACCTGAAGGTCTTGTGGTGGTCGGTATCCGATATGATCTTTAACTTCGTATACAGTTCGTCTTGATAACCGTTCTATATAACTCCCCAACGGTATATTAATCAGAAGGCAAATACGAAGCTTCGATTACGTTTATTGCGAGACCACACACATATATCCAAATGTACAAATGCGTTAAACAAGCATAGAAGAGTTGTGCCGAAAGGCAAGCAAGTGAGCGAGAGCCAGAGCAATAGCGAGACGAGAGTGTGTGTTGAATATGAATAACATGGGCATATATATACCATGTGAAATGAATGTGTAATCGAATCAAATAAGCAGTTAGTAGTAAGACTAGCGGAGTGAATAAATGCGTAGGCAGTAAGCAATATTCAAACATACGTATTTCATACAAGCACATAATAATAAGGGTACAATAAATTGTTATAGTGCGGATGACTTTGTCCGCTAAATGAGTTAGCAAAAGGGCTTAACTGCGTTAAATGAGACTAAACTCATTTGCACGTGAGTCGCTATACTCTGATCCACAAGGTAGTGGATCCACGTCAGGAGATGCAGTCACATGAGAGCCGGTGACCAACTAGAAGTTCATGTCCTATTTTTCCCTTTAGGATACTGGAACCCATATGCACCATTGGTTTGGAATCAGGGTTTTCCATCTCCCCTAGGTGGACTCTCTGTGTCCATCAACTAGATTAAAGCGCCGGATATTCGCTTTTCGTCCTTTCAATTCTTTATACAAGAGCAACGCCACGAGAAGGCAGTGAGTAGGACTTCTCTGGCATAGGCTATAGACGCGTGGCTATGTGAGAGTATTTCGAGTGGGAGAGTGGACTCTCCCCACTCTCGGCCATACTAGGGCATTTAGGCGCTCCATTTCTAATGAGAATCCTTTACATGAATAAACTTGAAATATAAAAGAAAATAAGATTATCATTTAATAAATTGATTTACCTCATCATTTGTAATAGAAAATTAAACCATGCCAAAAACATCACAACTACACCTAATTCAATATAATGATGATTTAAATGATTCTTTATTGTTAATGCTGAATAAGTCATTGCTAATGCATTTAATAAAAATTCTAAATAATTATTCCAATCTTTAAAATATTCATATTTCTATATAAAGAACCCCGCCCTCCACCTCCACCCACCCTCCCCACGCGTCTCCCCCTCACTCGCCATCCTCCCACCCACACTGCCACCCCCAACCAAGACACGTCAACCCCACAAGCAAACGACCCAATTCCACCCATCCGAATCAATCAAAATGCAAGCCTATGTCTGCCCCCCACCTCAAACAGCCCCTCCCCCACCGCGTGAGAGATATACCCTCAACAACCCGATAACCGCGTCTCCCCCAACCTCTATCTACCAGCCACCCCACCCGACCTCAACGTAACCCCCGTCCAAATGACCCCCCCCCTCAGCACCAATCGCTTCACACCCCCCCCACCCCTGCGTGCCACACCAGAAATATCAACCTCACCCGCACCGTACAACGCCTACAGACCGAACCCAACAACACACGCCCCATTGTGCAGCCCCCCCTCCACCCACCCACCCACCCTACCGGTCCCCCCAACTTGCCCCAAACAACATTGTCTCCGAGTCCACCACTCCCGCGCGCCCCCCACCCCCAGGATGCCTCCGGACCAACCCCCACACACCGATACAAATGGCTCGCCACCCTCCAACCAACCCACTGTCAAGGAAAAGAGCAACTATACAGAACTACCCCAAAGAATCGCCAATTATGGTGCAAACTCCACCCCAGGCAATGCACAGTCTAAAACACCATCAAAGAAGCTATGTGGTCGAGGCTGAAAGAGTTTTCGAGACTTTATCATGGCTCCGTATGCATGATTTCCTCTACTGCATACACTACGATTTTAGAACCACTGAACCTCTTTCTAATGTTGACAAGTTTTTGAACCACGTCTAAGAAGTGTATCCACTTTATTTCCTTGGTTTTGTATAATATATTTTTACTCTATACTTACTGTTTTCTGATTGGCTAATATTTCTCAAGTTCACTTAAGATTCGTTCAGAGATCATCCACAAATTAGAGTCTCGCCTATTGATTTTATGAATGATTTATAGATTATATTAAATGAATATGAAATAAATTAGAAAATTTATTAAATGATCAGTTCTAGTAATTCCGTCTGGAATGTCCCACCCTCTATGTGGAGCTACTGTTAATCACAAGCTTGGATAAAGAAGGAGGGTTATGCGTGAGATGAACGACTACCAAACTCGCTAAAAAAGTCGTTAACCAAAGAAAAAAAATCATTCAAACCATTTAAACTTTACTCTGAGAGTTAGAAGACATTCAGTTAGAAGAATTATGACGCTGCATAATGAAAGCCAAGTTCTTTTAGAAGTCACGAGGTTGATGACATAATAATCAGTATCCATTTGTCTCATATTCGCTTGTGGGAAAATTATAGTTAAAGTATAGTATACTGACGACCTTGAGTTAACCAATCAGAAATAAGATGATGCTTCATGTAATTTGAGTGAAATTTGAAGTGCAATGTGACATAACTTACTTATTACCGTCAACTCATGTGCTCCCAAGTCAGATTGTGTATTCTAGTATGTGATAGGATTCAATACGTAGTCAACAGAGCTTAATGACGCTAGATGGTGTTCTTCCACTCTAACACTTGTTCTAAATCTCAAGTATGTAAACAGAAGGATGATAAAGCTTTGTATCATAGTTGATGTTAGTTCATGATGAAAACAATTAACCCTAATTTGTAAACCGAACAAACAAATTATGGTTTATTTGAGAACTCTAAAGAAAATTATACACCAACAACTCAATTAAGTCATTACATTACTACTAATCGACTTAGAATACACAAATGACATAGTCCTATTTGATGAAGACTCTGATAAAATGTAGAGTCTTTTAGTAACACTAGGAAACAATCCCAGGATGTTTAGTATGAGTTTCTCCTTCTCTAAATGCAAGTTGTTGCTTCATGACTGACCTGCGTCAACATCTGAACTAGGGATATGGAGTGAAGTAGTTAAACGCGTTCACAACTTCACTTATCTCGGAAGTCTGACCAACCGTTATGGGTTAGTGTCTGGCGAAGTCATTGCACGGATTCAAAAAGCTGGTTTGGTTTTTGCCACCCAACGTCACCTATGGCGAAGGCGAGATATCCATCTATCCATTAAGGGACGAGTATACTGAGCAACAGTTCGTTCTGTTCTACTTTACTTACGGCTGCGAAACGTGTCCATCAAGAGTAGAAGATAATCAGATGTCTTAGAAATATTCCTCGCATCTGCTGGGATAATCGGATATGTAATAGTGAGGTTAGACGCAGGGTATTGGGAAATAATGGTAAATCAGTTGATGAAATTGTAAATCTTAATCAACTGAGATGGTTGGGCCATGTTACATATGCCTGAACACCGATTACCACGAAGCGCAATGTTGACCGGTGTTGGAGACAGATGGAAGAAAGTTAGGGGTAGCTAAACCAAAACGTGGCATCAGTGCTTGAAGACACTAACCTCTAGTCTGAGCCAGGTTGGTAGATGCAGACTACTTGGTTAGGGGTCCGCATGACTATCGTAACCAATGGTTGGAGACTCTGTGTGACAGGGATCAGAATCGATCACAATGGTGTAGGTCTATACACTCTTCATCTTACCTTAAACCATAAGATTAAAGCTACTTTATACCTTATAAGCAAAAGTGGATGGTTGCCGGCAGTGGATTCCAGGACATGAGTTTCGTCTCAGTTGTGACTCGTCAGATGAATGTGCCTGCATCCCAGAGTTGATGCTCTTTGCTTACGATGCTTGTGAATTAAAATAATATTGAGGCAATTTGTATAAAATACACATATTTTAATAAGAGAGACTGGTGTTTGCTAATCAACTCGTTATTGAAACTGTTTTTAAAGTAATGCGACATAATAAATGTAACTATATGATAACCTAAGGTTGTATAGTGGGAAAGAAATAAAAAATAGAAATTACCTGAGTTATTAATTGCCATATTTTAATGTTTAAATCTAAAGCTGTTAGAACTAAGATAATTGCAGCAATCGTTGAAAATATATACATTCTTGTTGGTGTTTCATAAAACTAAATTGTGCAGAAAACATTATAAAAGGATAAACACTTAGTAATTACTTTAATCGTTGAGATCAAGAGTCAGTTGGAGCTAGATCATCATGAAAGATCTGGAAGTACTGAACAGCCCTATCGTCGTAGTGTGAGACTCCTCAACATTGCGCATCCATGATACTGACTCGCGAGATTAGAACCCAAGACCAGTGACTAATAGAGTTCAACCGGGTCTGTTGTGAGAAAGTAACTCATTAAAGATAATAGTGGATGTATCACTCAATTTCGGAGATTGGTTGAAGTTAGACATTAACACCACTAAACTCGAACCTAGGACTCATGGATACACACTGTCGAGGAGTCCCATAGTAGGACGAAATGGCCTTCCAGTACTTCCAGGTCTTCCATGGTAGTCTAACTTAAATTGACTCGTGGATTTAACTATAAAATTACTAAAATTTTCACAAAATCACTTCTGGAACAGGAAACATTCCGATCTTAAATCTTTCATTTGTATAAACGTTTCCTACACATTGCATAATAATGGGATTTTGTTGAACTGAATAGGCTGTAATCTAACGATTACATAATAAATGTCAGTTACTTACTCATTTACGCCTGTTACCCCTTCTGGAGGAGCATAGGCCGCTCAATAAATGTTAATGCTAAAGTTTCATTCATTGAACGATACTTATATCATTGATTTACATCCATGTACAATTTATTCTGGTTACCAATACATAATATTAGGTTATTTGGGTTTTTCAGATATAGATATCTTGTAAGCAAAGATGGATAGTGACTAGCAGTGGAATCCAGGACACGCACTTAGTCCTAATTAGGACGAGTCAGCTGGATGTATCTACATCCTACAGTTGATGCTCACTCTCGGACTCGGATCTAATACCGTTCGCTTCAAACGCCACCGCCTTATCCACTTAGCTACTGAGTGCTGTTAGCCACTTGGTTGTGCAATCAGATAAAGTTTAAATTCACTTGGTATTGATTACTTGAAATGCGTCTCCTGGACACTATTGTTAACCACCATACATCTTTACTTATAATGCTTGTGACTGAAGACAACATCGAAGCAATTCGTACAGGATGCACATATACCAATAAGAGAATGATCAATCGCAGTCATAAACAATAATGGGAAGATACAAGTAAACAATACCAAGTGAATTTATAGATATTTCGTGTTTGTAGAATAATTGTGACCAATCAGTTGTGAAAGTGTAATACTATTTATAAGTTTTCGATATGACTACTCTAATTTATTCAGCTCAGATTTGTATATTTTTCTAACTGGAAGATGTCCAATATCAATCTGTGATTTAGATGGTGGTTGGAGGTAGTCAACAGGAAACCCTGGACTCGGGTTTCGTGCTACTTGGCACTCGTCAGCAAGGTGTACCTGTAATCTTGAGGGAACTGGTGCTCCCTGGCGGATTCGATCTCGTGTCACCCGGCTTCACAGTCAGAGACGTTACCACTGAGGTATCCGAGCCGTGACTAACCTCCTGTAGGACTGAGATGTAATCACAATTGATTAATCACTGGGTGGTGATCAATGTCATGCTTGTCTAGTCCTTATTAATATCAATCTGTGGTGTATGTTACTTATGTCGACAAATATAAGTAGTATGTAACACCAATCGGAAATGGAAAATCAGGCAACAGAAGGCTATAAAGGTTGACTTGAAGAAAACAAAAACGGAAAAACGATGTGGACTTATGATGAAAGTTTCCAAATGAAGTAATCAATGTATAGTTCTCATATTTTACCAAGAGATTCTGTAACTCTGTGTATCTGAACACACAATCAAGTGTCCTCATCTGTGTACTTGTTCACAACAAACCTTATTGTAAGCCTTCTGTTTACATGAAAATGCATCTGACTTAGTCATCTGTATACCTTGTTTACAACATAGAAATAATATGCATACATTCTTCAGATCAACATCCCTGTCGTACGCTTTCAATATAAAACAGTTTGTATAAATGAAACTTGATGTTTAACTTACCAGTTCAGAACAACTTGATATTTTGTCAATATTTTCTACATGACGTATTGGACTATGACCCAAAACCAAACAAGTAATTGCGAATAATAAAACAGCATAATAAACACTTACACATAATTGAACCCAACGTCCATAAGTTTGCCTTTAAACAAAGTTAATCATTTATAACAATAATAATGAAATTAGGATTAGAAGGGGTTTTGTGGATATTACAGTAACTTTAGTAATTGAGATCATGGGTTAATTGAAGCTAGATCATCATGGAAAACCTCGAAGCACTAGACGGCCGTTTCGTCCTAATGCGGGACTTCTCAGCAGTGCGTACCCACGATCCCGACTTGCGAGATTAGAACTCAGGACCAGAAACTAGTAGAGCTCAACCAATTCTGTTGTGAGATAGTAACTCACTGAAGATAATAGTGAATATATCCCTCAATTTCGTAGATTGTTTGAAATTAGACATTAACACTATTAGATCCAGACTCAGTGGTCTAGAGGTTAAGCGTTCGTCAGCGAGACCGGTAGCTCCTGGGTTCGAATCTCGCGTGGCGGGATTGTGGATGCTCACTGCTGAGGAGTCCTACAGTAGAACGACACGGTCGTTCAGTGCTTCCCGGTTTTCAATGGTGATCTAACATTAAACTTTTCATGATGTCAATCAAAAAGAACAGTGAATTTTACAGAATCTATTCGTTTAAACATTAGAATGATTCAAATATTCAGTAATGAACAATATTTAAGAAAAAACTATAGTTACTATCATTACCATTTTCTTTCTAAATATGCTTTACAAAGTGGATGAATTAATAACTCTTCACGTTTCAACTCGACCATTAACTGAAAAGTAAAGTAAACATAATTATGTATGTATTATGATGGAATGTACACAACTATACAGTTGATAATACTTCTGAAAATAGTTTTATACTTTTTATAAGGAAATATGAATGATGGCTAGTAGCGGAATCTATGACACACGTTTCGCCTCATTTAGGATTCGTCAGCTGAATCTCAGATAGGATGTTCACTCCGAAACTCGAAGTTCAGTACCGTTCGCTTCAAACGCCATCACGTTATTCACTTAGCTACTGAGTACGGATGGCCTCTAGCTTGTGGAATTAGAAACTCATCGATTACAATGAATTTTGTACTTTTTGTTAAAGTTGGATAGTGACAAGGAATGGAATCTAGGATGTACTTTATTAGGCTGAATGTATCTGTATCTCAGTGTTGATGTTATGTTGGAGATGTTAGATCCCCAGAACTCACATGGAAAATATCTTATTTTTGTAATTTTAGTTTGAAAATTTGAATTTCTTTGTTTTCGCGCCAAAAGCGCTCTTGTCACCTTCATGTCATATTTCCCACTTGGGAGAATCTTAGACGCTATTGGTTTATTGTATCTTTTAGTATGCTATTTAGTCATACTTCTCAAGGACGGTTTTGTGCTATATGTATACATTTGATTTGTGCCTGTTGTGGTTGCTCGTCCGTCTGGCTGCTTGCAGATTATATTTCCCCATTTCAAACTTGAACTTGTCTCTTTGGTTAGCGGAGCTAGGACGTAACAGAATAGCTAGCTTATTGGTCTTTGGTCACAGAGTCTTTGTTCTATTTTCAGACTAGATGAACTCGTAATCAATTCAAATATAGCATGTTTACATTGAAATTCGAAATGATTATCTTTTTGCTTCAAATAATCAATCCATTATTATACACGCCTGTTACCCCCTGATCGAGGAGCATAGGCCACTCACCAACATTCTCTATCAAGCTGTGTCCTCGGTAAACCTTTCTAGGTATTACCAATTACTATTCATCCTATTCATGTCTGCTTCCGATGTTCTTTGGTATCCCTATTTTCTGTTTCCCTTCAAGATTCCAAATTAACTCTAGCCTCGTGATGCAGTTTGATGTCGTCCATAATGTATGTCTATTCACTTTCAATTACTTTTCATAATCTCTTCTACAGCTGAAAGCTGGTTTGTTACCTCCCACAGTAGGCTGTTGCTGATAGTATCTGGCCAACGGATATTGAGTATCTTACGTAGACAACTGTTTATAAATGCTTCTACTATTTCGATGGTTGTTGTAGTAGTTCTTCACGTTTCAGCTCTCTACAATATAACTAACTGTCTTGGTGTCCATATTGAAGATTGTGACCTTGATATTGTTTGACAGTTGCTTTGACTTTCATAGGTTATTCAGCTGTAGTAATGCCGCCCTTGCTTTACCAATCCTCGCATTTACATATACATCAGATCTTTCTTGTTCATCGATGATGCTTCCCAAGTACCTGAAAGATTCCACATCTTTCAGAGTTTCTCCATCCAGTGTGATTGAGTGTGTGTTCTCCTTGTTGTGTTTCAGCATCTTGCTTTTTCCTTTATGTATGTTGGGGCCCACTGACTCAGAGGCTTCTGCCACACTATTTGTCTTCATCTGCATTTGTTCGTGTGTATAGGATAGAAGGGCCAAGTCATTTGAGAAGTCCAAATCTTCTGAATGATTCCGAGCTGTCCATTTTATTCAGTGTTTTCCCTCAGATGTTAAGGTTTTCATAATCCAGTCGACCACCGAAAGAAAGAGGAAGGTGGAGAGTAGGCAGCCTTGTCCGCCTCCAGTCTTTACATGGAATACATCTGTCAGGTGTCCTCCATGCACGACTTTGCACTGTAGTCCGTCGTATGAATTCCGGATAACATTGACAATCTTCTCAGGAACTCCGTAGTGTCGAAGAAGTTTCCATGATGTTCTCCTGTCTACAAAGTCAATAAAGTTGATATATAGAGACGAGTTCCACTCACTTAAGGTTTCTATCTACTACAGATTGATTTAATGGTCATGAACCATAAAGGTTATCCCTTGGATTAAGCAAGAACCATATTTATTGAATAATTTTGATACTTCTAGTTATTTTAACGTCTAGAAATGGTATATAACTAGTTATTTTTACCCTGTGATCAAAAGGTTGGTGGAGTAAGAACTGTTTAATTACCAACTAATCTTGATTCTTTGAAGCACAAGTAACTTTTTTATATGAAATTGTGATTTTCATTACATATACCCACAAATGTCCTTATACGGCCAAGGGTGATGAGAGTCAGCTCTCCCTCTCCAAATACTCTCACATGGATACGCGTATACAGCCACTACCATGGAAGTCTTACTCACTATTTTCTCGTGGTAGGGGTATTGTTTACAAAATTGGGTGGACGAGAAGCGAATGTTCGGCGCTTTAACCTGGTTGATGGATATAGTCCACCTAGGGGAGTTGCAAAACCTTCATTCCAAACCAATGTTGCATATGGAATCCAGGATCCTGGGCGAACAAATGGGACATGAACTTCTTGTTGGTCACCGGTTACCATGTGACTGCATCTTCTGACGTTGCTCCACTACCTTATGCATCAGACCTTTGGGTCGAAGGCTTCAAGTGTGGTCCCCTATGAAAACCACCTGCTTTGGTTTGGGCACCTAGGCAGTATCCTGCCCCACACAAAAATCGGATGACTTGTGTGGTACTTATGTATTCAGTGCCCCTTCGTACTAATTTGTATTACTAATTTATATTCTGCCCTTGTACAGTTATACATCTTATGTGTATATATTTGTGTGTTTATACACATATCATTTGATCCAATACTTTTCTTCCCTCAGCACTATTCATAATCTATTTAAAATTTACATTAACGGTTGTAATGGATAGTATTTCGAGTAGACACTGATGCCTTCTACTCTTCTCACTTCTTCATTTATCTACCAAACTGAATGCATCAAATATAATCAACCGTAGCATACTCATATATTCAACAGCTTATAGTCGCGTTGTCAATCACACGAACATATAAGATTTAAGTAGGATCTACATTTCGTCTACATCATAAATGATTCCATTATATTACAGTCCGACAATGATCATCTAAAATATTTAAGATGAAATGTAACAACAACCATAGGCAACATTATTTAGAAGAAATACATTGAAAATTTTATATTTACCTTGATACGTTTCATAGGATCCTGTGGTGGTTTTTCACAAGGATTCATGGGTCTTTGAAGTATTGAAAAGTCATAGAATATCTACAATAATGGAACAGTTTAAAGGTATCAAGTCGGCTGTTAAAGAGTTCCAAAGTATTCTTTGAAAAAATCCATAGTAGTCTAGAAAACTATAGGAAATGCTATCGGCGAGACTATAATTTATGGATGAACCAATCAGGTATAAGATAATGGGGCTCGGATTTTGGCGCAAAATTATTCACCCATCCATTTGACTAAATAAAGTATTGGCATTTTAGCTAATTCCTCACCCTGGTTTATAAACCTCATTTGGTCCTAGTTAGTAGGTGAACATTCTCAAGGTCACTGCGGAGTCACTCAAAAGTCGTTTATAAATTATGGTCTCACCATGCTATCTAATAGGCGCTGAATAGACCCTTCTCAAAAACATCTAAACAGTAAATAGTCATGTATTACGTTTCTGATTAGATATTTACATATGTTGCTACTATATTAAGTATGGTCTCAGGAATTTCCAGAAACTCAGGCTTGTGTGTAACTCTATAAATACCCCCATTTTTCTGTACACAAAATAACCTTGAAGTAGCGTGTTCTTTTCGAACTATGTGCTTTTTCTTTTGTGCTGAAGATGCCATGTAGTTTAAACTCAGGAGTTGCTCAAATATCTGATGGAGAGTTCATTTACAATTGATCGATCACTGTATGATGATCAATATCATGTATGTCAGGTCCTTCTTAGTGCACATCGAATCCTATCGATCAAGTTGCACTGTTACCACTAGTCTAGGTGACTCAACATTGCATGTACTATGTTGAGATGAGATGATGGTGGGAGGTAGTTAACAGGAAACCCTGGACCTAGGTTTTATGCTACTTGGCACTCATCAGCAAGGTGTACCTGTAATCTTGAGGGAACTGATGTTTCCTGACGGATTCTATCTGCACTAAGAAGGACCTGAAATACATGACACTGATCACTACCCAGTAATCAATCAATTGTAAACATATCTCAGTTTTACAAGTGGTCAGCCGTGGCCCAAATAGCCCAGTGGTGACGTCTCTGACTATGAAGCTGAGTAACACGGGATTAGATCCGTCAGGGAGAATCAGTTTCCTCAAGATTACAGGTACACCTTGCTGAAGAGCGTTCACTTATCAGACTTATCAGGAATCCCAACTGTGCGAACATAATCCTAAATGCATAATTCGTCTTCTTGAAAATCAACTATAGAAATCTTTTTATAATGACCGAAAAGAAACCTATAAAAGATAAGACTAATTCAATGACGACAGTTTTCAGCGTAAAGGTGGAATGTTGATAAACTCTAGAAAGACATGCCTAAATCTTTCGTACTGAAACAACTATTTCCATAACAGTACATAGTAAAGCAGTTATTACCATACTTATCATTAAGAATGAGTAACTTCCAAAGAACGTCTGGAGAAGTTGTATTTAAAGAAGCTAACGCCTCCTCAAACAAAAAACAGTAAAATAAAATGTATAAAATTAACTCACTTCATGATCAAGAGTATTTTTCGTGCCAATCTCTTTAATACACTGATCCAAAACAAGCTATCATCAAAACAATGAAGAAAATATAAAACCTATATAGAAACTTTCTTATATTATTTGAGATCATAAACGGATTGGTGTTAAACCATCATTAAAAACCTGGACGCACTGGAAGGCCATTTCGTACTGTCGTGGGACTCCTCAGCAGTGTGCATCCATGATCCCCTTAGTGGTGTTCAAAACCAGGATTTCCGGTCTCTCATCTAGACCACTGAACTGGCCGGCATCCAACGATGTTAATGTCTAACCCCAACCAATCCATGAATTTGCGCTACCATCTCCCATTGTGCTGAGGTAGATGCATGTCTCTACTCGACATCGATTAGCTTCACTGGTCACGCCTTCACTGAGAAACCGTGCACACTGCTGAGGAGTCCCACGATAGGACGAAACAGCAGTTCAATGCTTCCAATTTTTCAGTGGTAGTCTAACACCAATCGGTTCATGATCTCAATCAAAAACTTAATAATCTCTACAAACCCATACTGATTTCTTATATTAGTTTAATAACCAACGTATCCATGAATAGAAAAGTGTTTAAATCATAATCTTTCATGTTATCTATTCATATTATGGTAGAATAACCATACTCCTTTCTCAGTATTATTTATCCTTCTTAGTAAGTGAATAGTAAAAAGATGTCATAAACATCTTCTACTCTATGAATTCTAGTTAGCAGTTGAGACTAATTAGAAGAAGTCTACTGTTCAATTTGTCTTCATTCCGTTTACTTCATCTAAAGGAGGTTGTTAAGATGTACATGATAATGATCTTGACCACTAGCGAAGATCGGATTTAAAATACATTTCACAATAGAAGAGCATTAAATAATTATTTTTTTTAGCTCCAGCTTTTAATGGAAGTACACAATCTAGATCCAGTTGATGATAAGATGCATGATCTTAGCAGCTCTTGAAAACTACATTGTAAGTCAATTGTTGAATTGTAATTTAATGATCCTGTAAGAATACCTTAATACTGTCTTCAGTATCAAGTATTCTAAACAAAGATGGTTGATAGCTAGCAGAGGAATGGAAGACGCGCGTTTCATTCTGTTTAGGATTTGTCAGTTGGATGTACCTGAATCTTAGATTTGATATTCACTCTGAGACTTGAACCCGGTACCGTTCGCTTCAGACGTCATCGTATCATTCATTTATCTAATGAGTCCTGATAGCCACTAGTTTGTACAATTGTATCACATTGATCTAAGACAGATCTTAATTTCATTCAGAGGGTATGAATCCCTCTAAAGTTTAATTGTGCCTTTTAATCATTCTCTATAATAAACCTTTGGAAACAACCTAACTGAATAGTGAATCATTTTAATTCAACATATCTTAACTACTATATAACACTATGGGATATTTTAACTCACTTTACACATTGATGGCATATTTCGAATAAATCCATCCACTGGACATTGTGATGTATTGTCTAACATTCCATGTAGTTCTGGCCAACTGTATTAAAGAAGTGAAATTGAAATAAAGAAACTTCACAGTTGAAAGATGTAAGAAGTACACTTGAACATTTGATTAATGAATAGTATGAGAATAGAAAGAGAAAATCTGTGGCAAGACAATAATTTATGGATAAACCAATCAGATTTATGAGGAAAAGTCTTAGATTTTGGCGCGTGATTCACTCATCCATTTGGATAAATAGTGTTCTCGTATTTTAGCTGATGTCAGTTTGTGATAAAAAAAAAACAACCCTAAATCTAATTCTTAGCCTTAACCATAAACTGTAAATCATAATCGTTACTCTTCATACTGCTTTATAATCATCATTTAGCTCTAGTAAGTAAGTGAACATTCCTAAGTTCACTTTGGTGTCGCTCAAAGGTCGTTCATAATTTATAGTCTCACCAAATGTGTTTGTTGTTTTAGTATGCTATAAAGTACTTGAGTTTTCTTTTGTAAAAATTTGGACAATTTTATATTTTTAGAAGGGAGTTTTGTGGAAATTTTAGTAACTTTATAGGTGAATTCATGAGTCGATTAAAACTAGACCACCATGGGAAACCTGGAAGCACTGGATGATCGTTTTGTCCTATGATGGGACTCATCAGCAGTGTGCATCCATTCCGATAATAATTATCATATCGTCACTATGACTGGTCTCCAATAGGTGTTTCCTGTAGTTCTAGTGAGAAGTAGTGACTGATGAAGTTCAACCAGGTCTGTTGTGAGATGGTAGTCGGTGGCTCAATTTCATAGATTGATTGAAGTTAGACTATAACACCGTTGGACACCGACTTAGTGGTTTAGATGTGAAGCGTTCATGTGCGAGACTCATATATCTTAAGTTCGAATCTCGTGGGGTTGGATCGTGGATGCATACTGTTGAAGAGTTCCCACATTAGGATCAAACATCCATCCAGTACCTTCAGGTTTTCAATGATGATTCAGCTTGAATGAACTCATGAATTTAATCATTAAGTTACTCTCATTCTGATCAAAAACAAATTCACTAACCGTGAATGTGTAACAATAGCTTTCATTGTTTCATAATTTCTACGTTGTAAAGCATATGTAACAAAGTATATACCATCTTTATCAGGTAAAATTTTTGCTTTTGATGTCAGTAAATAATCTAATACTTCTGCATTGTTCTCTTTGGCAGCATAATGTAATGCAGTCATCTGAAAAGAACGATTAGGTAATCTCAGGTTAGAATATGAAGAGAAATAATTCGAAATGGAGTATAATGGTCATAAATCTTTTTGTAATTCCTAATGAACGAACACAAATTTGATTTGTGAAGTCAGTATACAAACAGACTATACAGTAGTATTATAGGAACAGCAAAACAAAAGCAGCATATCTGCAATTGAAGAATATCTGGAACTCAAAACAACTGTCTGTAAGCCAACACCAAGGTCAGGATTTTCAATACAAATGTCAAGACAGTTCAACTGTAGGAGGCGGAAACTTGGAGAACTATGAAAGCCATCATCCAGAAAATACAGGTGTTTATAAACAGTTGTCTATGCAAAATACTTCGGATTCGTTGACTAGACACTATCAGCAACAACTTATTGTGGAAGAGAACAAACCAGATCCCAGGGAAGAAAGAAATCAGGAAGAGGCGCTGGGACTGGATAGGATACACATTCAGGAAAGCACCCAACTGCATCACAAGACAACCCCTCACATGGAATTCTCAAGTTCAAAGGAGGAGGGGAAGACCAAAGAACACATGACATCGAGGAATGGAGACAGACATGAGAAAAGAATGAGCAACAATTGAATCGAACTAGAAAGGAAGGCCTATTAGAGAGTTTGTTGGAGAATGCTGGTCGGCGGCCTATGCTCCATTGGAAGTAACAGGTGTGAGTGCGTATGTATGTATGTATGTATGTATGTATGTAGGTAGGTAGGTAGGTAAGTAAGTAAGTAAATGTATATCTTGTCAAGAACTGATCAACAGTACTAAACTCTAGGTAGATTCCTACATAAGAAAACTAAGATATTGCTTTATAAAAATATTATTCTATGAGAATAAATCAGTTTAGATATGAGTTCATCCGTTTAAACGATCAATTATAGACTTCTCATTTTCGCACCGAAAGTGCCTATTTTCACCTTCAGATTGTATTTCCCACTTGGAAGATCCCTGAATGTTATTGGTTCGTTGTCTTTGTTAACATTCTATTTTTTGGCGTTTCGTAAGGATATTTTTGTGCTATATATATATATATACGCCTGAGTTGAACTTCTTGTTGTTAGTGCTTCTGGTTGCTTGTACAATATACTTTCCCTCTTCTGAACCTCGACTAGCGGGACTGGGATGCATTGGAATAGTTAGCTTATATTGTCATTGTGCCGGGAAGTCCTCGTTCCGTTCGCCGATTTCGGTGATCTTGTATTCTTTTCAAACATAGCAATATTTATATAAAACGGTTCATATTCACAAATTCTCGATACTTTGTTAATTTAAGGATGAGTTCGCCTATAAACCAACTTGATACAAAAAGGAAATTCTATTCCAAACCTTTCTAAACCTGAACTTATAAATCTATTGTGGTGTGTACTACTGATGTCGACGGATATGAGTAGTATGTATTACCAATCGGAAGTGAAATAGCTGGCTGCAAAAAGTTAAGATTTTTTTCACTTTACCATTACCATTACTTTTTAGTTTAAAGAATGGAATGGAAGACCTAAATCCTTATTTTCACATTGATTGTTTATAACTTATGACAAACCTAGACAAACAAACCATGGAGTCCCAGTTTAATCGACCGACGTCCCTGGGTTTGATCCTCTCCCTCGTAGGGTCGTGATTGTACACTCATGTTGTTACAGGAATGCTGTCTAATGTTTCCTGGTTTTCAATTGTTGTTCAACACAAGTTGATTTATGATCTTGATAACATTCAATAATCCCTAAATTTCTATCTATATATAAATTGACCTGAAATAATGTCACATTATAAAATATAAACTCCATATCGTAATCTTTTTAGGCAAAAATGGGTAGTGGCTGGTAGTGGAAACTTCACCCTATTGCACAAACAGATGGTTATGAGGGATTCAGTAGCTCAATGAATAACGTTATGGTGTTTGAAGCGAGGGTTTGAGTCGTGGAGTGATCATCAACTCTGTGATGTAGGTACATCTAGCTGACGAGTTCAAAATGTGTCAAAACTTGTGTTCTGAATTCCACTGCTAGCCACTATCCAATTTTTCTTATAAAAGCTTGTGACTGACGACAATATCGAGGCAATCCTCACAGGATTTACATATGCCAACAAGAGACCGATCAATTACAGTTCTAAATAACAATGGGAAGATACAAGTTAAACACCATCAAGTGAATCAATATCGTAATGATTAAAATCGTTTAACTGGAAGTAAAACCTGTAAACTTAACTTCTTATCTCAATACTTCATAGAGACTTACTCCGTGAAAATTCGTTTGATTCAATAAAGATGGACTTGATTGTAATAATAATTTGCATATTTTTATACAACCACCAATGGAAACATAATGTAACGGTGTATTACCTAAATGGCATCTATGATAGAGATATCAAGAAATGAGAAGCATATTATTATTAGTTAAGTGAAAACTATGAACAGTTACCATATAGAACTTTGTTTTGTCTTTATAGCCTTAATCCTTAGTTGATTACTCGTTTAACTTCATTATCTATCGTTTACATCTGTACCCGGACCTACATACGATGGTTTTGTCAGACAGATAATAAACATATTTTTACATTCCTTATTATTTATTTACAAGGAGATGGGAGGCTTCTTTCAAGATGGTTCTACTGTACGGAGCTGAAATGTGGAAGATTACTACAACCATCATCAAGGAGATACAAACATTTATAAGCAATGCCATCAGCAACAACCTACTGTTGGAGAGGACAGACCAGTTTGTAGCTATATAGGAAATTAGGAAAAGATAGCGTAAGTGAAGTGGATACACATTGAGGAAATCATTAAACTGCATCACGAAGCAAGCGTTCACTTTGAATCCTTAAAGGAAACGGAAAAGAGGAACGCCAAAGAATACACTTCTTTGTGAATTGGAAGCATACATGAAAAGGATGAATAGCAACTGGAAAGAACTGGAACGGATTGACCAGGACAGAGTTGAATGAAGATGGATAGCTAGTGGGCGGCCAATGCTCCTCCACGAGGTGTAAAAAGCGTAAGTAATTAGGGAGGTTTCTTACTATAGCAGAGAGGCACAAAAGATTCTTGATAGAGATGAAATGTATTTCTATTCTGCTTAGTATGCTATAGATGTTTCATTGTAAACGGACTTCAGATTCTAAGTATCAGTATTATAAAACGAAATAACAGAGGATTCGGCGATGAGTTCACCCGATGACATTGTGATTTCCTTTGAACATGATTAAACAATTCCTGTTGATAGCTTTCATTGTAAAATGATATTAGCTAGAAACTCATCCAAGAACATGGAGCGTAACCTTAGCACACTATTAAATCAAAGATATTTTGAATGTCTTCTTAACTAATATCATAGCTATGCAAATACAATCCAAATATTTGGACTATACTAGTAACAATAAATGGTTACACTATTGTGATGATCATCAGTATTTTCAATTCAATATGTTTTACTGTTTTGTTAAGTGATTGAAAAATGTCATACACTGATCTAGATTACGTGCTATTTAATATTTATTCCCATAATATTCAATGGAGTTTAGTGATAACCCGATGGTGTTTGAAGCAAACGGTACTGGTTTCAAGTCCCAGGGTGAACATCAGCTATGAGATGCAGGTACACCCAGCTGACGAATCCTAAATGGGACGAAACGCGCGTCCCAGATTCCACTGTTAGCCACTATACATCTTTCCTTAGAATGCTTGTGGCTTAATGAAAATATTGGGCAATCTTTAGAGGATGCACATATGCCTACGAGAGACTGATCAATTACAGTCCTAAACAACAACGAGAAGATTCAAGTAAACAATATCAAGTGAATTTAAACTTCGCCCCATTCCGCAATCAACTGGCTATTAGGGACTCAGTAGCTAAGTGGATAATGTCATGGAGTTTGAAGCAAACGGTACTGGTTTCGAGTCTCGGGGTGAACATCAGCTGTGAGATGCAGGTACACCCAGCTGATGAATCCCAAATGGGACGAAACGCGCGTCCCGGATTCCACTATTAGCCACTAACCATGTTTACTTAAAAAGATTGTGACTTAAGGCTTTATCAAGGCAATCCGCACAGGATGCACATATGGCAACAAGAGGTTACATATATATCGGTTATAATTTGTAAGAAGTTTCTGACGGCACACTCCCCCCACTTTCATATCCAACATTACCAACTACGGTCAACAACCAATCTCCACAATCCATATGAACAAAATAACAAATCAAATATGATCAAAATCTTACTTTCGAAATAGACAACCTCGATCAATAAACATTTTCACAATTTCTAAATGTCCATGTTCAACTGCAACATGAAGTGGTAAACGTCCAACAGCATCTGGACAATTCATTGCTCTCATACCATGTGATGTAGCTAATAATTTTTCACATGTATGTAAACGACCATAATATGCAGCTGTATGTAATGATGTATTACGTTCATTATCACGTTCTAATGCAGAAGCACCACGTAGTACAAATTCTATGGTAGCACCTAAATTACCCATTTTAGTTGAATAATGTAATGGTGTTGTACCATATTTATCTTTTTCATTGACTAATCGTTTAAATAATTCCTCCTATTCAATAATTAACAAAGACATAGAGTTAAATAGGCATTACATTTAATACTGAGGTATCCATCTTCATGTTATCTAAGATAGTAACCCTTTAATTATTATGTAATTCAGTTTGTATGTTAAAATCGAACCTAATTGAAGCGAATGAAACTTAAGTGAGGACAATGAATTTAATGTTTAATGAAAATTAAAGAGTTGATAGGTGAGAAATTATACATTAGATACTTCATTTGCAAATCTTCCTTTAACTGTCCCAAGTTTCATCGTTCCTTCATTGTTATTAGAAATTACTCTCTGTTTACATTCTTTTTCTCATCAATTCGATCTTCTCAACCTTCTGCTGACAGGTATTTCACTTTTGATTAGTGCTACATACTACTTAAGCCTGTAGACATAAGTAGCATACACCACAATGGTCCCCCTTTTAAACGGTCGACCATGAAGTTGTTGTGCTCGCCGTGTCACATTCTTCTTTCCTGAAGTTTGTGCCATGCTGCCAGTCAAAATGTCGAGTCCACTCGCACGCTGACATCCGTAGCAATGTAGTCCTGCAGAGTCATCTAAGTCCGATATCTGCTCAGCGCTCGGGACGTTTAACGCCTGGTCCTTGGAAATCTGCTGAGCCATCTACCTCTGATGCCTACGCAGCAGCCACATATTCCCCTACTCCTCTCCGTAGACAGCAGTTGCTACAGCCAACGACGTCCCACTAGAACATTCCACCTGACATAAGTGGTATACACTATATAGTAGGTAATAAAACCCACTGAACTGTAGAAGCTATTTTATCTCAGTTTAAGAGTGATTATCAGTATACAACCGAAACTCTTCATGAGCGTTAACGCGCGGGGCAGAAGGTCGTGGATTTGAGTCGCGAGAGCGACGTCGTTGAAATCTATTGCTCAGGAGTCCCATATTAAGACGAAACGATCGTCCAGTAATTCCAGGTTTTCCATAGTGGTCTGTCTTTAATTAACTCATGAATTCAACTATAAAATTGTATATATTTTATATATATAGTCATTAACTTACGTCATTCACCTCTGGTAGGACTGTTCTGATTCCTGGACCTTGAAATAACATCAATAAATGAACTAAATTACGATTACTGGAATCATGTGCATTAGGATTTGCTCCAAGACGAAGTAATTGAATACATGTTTGAAAAGCTCCTTTCATAGCAGCTAATAATAATGGTGTCCATCCATTTGTTTCAGTCATTTCTAAAGGTGAACCCTATTTTTTATTTATTATAAAGATGTAACAGAACAAAGAAGTAAAGTTTAGAGTAAAAAAAATCAATTTTGGTCTCTTGCTCAAATCAAAATACCTTTACAAAACATAATACTTAAATACCAAGATTGATTAGAACATTTTGGAGTCGTACTGTTTTGAAGAACAACTACAAATTAAGTTGTTGAACTCATGGGTCAATTGAAGCTAGACCATCATGGAAAACCTAGAGGCATTCCAGGGCCGTTTCGTCCTAATATTAAACTCCTCAGCATTGCACATCCACGATTCCGCCTCGTGAGATTCGAACCCAAATTAGACAAATTAGACAATCAAATAGAATATGTACACTTTATTGTCAGATTCTAGAACCATCTACTATGGATTTGTAAAATCAAAAACCATACTGACAAATTTTATAAAAGTTCAAATCGTCAATAAGATTTAGATTTGTTCTTTGGTGACAAATACCTAGAGTTGTGTCTTCATCTCTTACTACAATACGTCAATATGTGTTTGATCTTCTTTTGATTGAGTGAACAAACACTTAGACACTTTGGTAAGACTATAAGTTGTAGACGATCTTTTAGCGACTCCGCAGTGACCTTGAGGATGTTCACCTACTAACTAGGACCAAATGAGGGTTATAAACCAGGGGTGAGGGACTAGAATTATGATTTACAGTTGATGATTAGGGTTATAGTTTAGATTTATGCTTTTGATCAAGAAATGATATCAGTTATAATGCCAAAACGCTATTTAGCCAAATCGATAAATGAATTTCGCGCCAAAATTCAAGACTCCTTATCTTATATCTGATTGGTTCATCCATAAATTATAGTCTTTCGATTTAAATACATATGTTAAAACAAAGTCATAAGGATGTCGATACTTGTCTCTCGTTATGAAGTGTCAGTAAGTATCATCGCTGGGGATGTTGGATCCCTAGAACTCACTTGGAAAATATCTTATTTTTGTAATTTTAGTTTGAAAATTTGAATTTCTTGTTTTTGCGCCAAAAGCACTCTTGTCACCTTTATGTCGTATTCTCCACTTGGGAGAATCTTAGACGCTATTGGTTTATTGTATCTTTTAGTATGCTACTTAGTAACGCTTCCCAAGGACGGTTTTGTGCTGTATATATACATTCGATTTGTGCCTTTTGTGGTTGCTCGTGGTTCTGGCTGCTTGCAGATTTTATTTCCCCAATTCGAACTTGGACTTCTCTCTCTAGTTAGAGGAGTTGAGACGGATCAGAATAGATAGTTTAGTGGTCTTTTTTCACAAGTCTTTGTTCCATTCGCAGACTAAGTGAACTCATAATCGCTTCAAACCTAGCAAACATTTTCAAAAGCTCTTGGTTAAAGCATGAATTATGCTCTCGTTTGAAAACTTACGACAACAAATATCTGTCTGAAAATATATTCCAATTTACTAATTCACTTAGATATGGGAGATGACAGTTATTGCGAATTGATACCGATAATCCGAAACCCGGAAGGAATTATCCCATTTAGTGCAGTTTGGTACAAGAGGTCTACGGTTGGGGAACGAATAAGGGACTGAAAAATCTTATATCCATGATAAATTATTTCACTATGTTGTATGATACTAATAATTCCATAATGACGAGTAAAATATACAAAAATTACTTACTTTTCATAAATAGTTACATTTATGAGTCGACCTAAGCTAGATCATCATTGAAAACCTAGAAGTACAGGATGGCCATTTCACTGCTAGTAGGAGATTCCTCATCGATACGCATCCACGACCTTTCACTTTGGACTCGATTTCAGGATATTCGATTTCACGAACGAATGCATAACCTCTAGACCACTGAGCTAACATCCAACTACTTTAATGTCTGAATTCAATCAATCCGTGATCATGCACAACCATTTTTCTATTGTCTGAAGTGAATACCTGTCTTGACTAGACACAGTTTGGAATATCCTGATCATGGCTTTTCACTAGAAATCCGGATAATCACTCTTGAAGCAAGTCACGTGATTTTTATCAGAAATAAGGATCGTGGATGCGCTCTTCTCAGGAGTTTCATATTAGGATGAAACGACCGTCCACTGCTTCTAGGTTTTTCATGGTGGTCTAGCTTAGATTGACTCATGAATTCACACATTAAAGTTACTACAATCTCCACAAAACTCCTTCTGATAATAATTATCATATGCTCACTAGTGACTGGTCTCCAAGAGGTATTTTCTGGAATTCTAGTGAGAAGCAGTGACCAATGAAGTTCAACCAGATCTATTGTGAGATAGTAACTCACTAAAAATAATGGTGGTCGGTGGCTCAATTTCATAGATTGTTTGAAGTTAGACTATAACACCGTTGGATACCGGCTTAGTGGTTTAGATGTTAAGCGTTCATGTGCGAGACTCATATATCTTGAGTTCGAATCTCGTAGGGTATGATCGTTGATGAGTACTGCTCAAGTTTTCAATGATGGTCTAGTTTAGATTAACTCAACTCCCCATTTTTTTTGTTTTATAAATAACATACCTGTTCAACTAAATATGTAACCAGTTTTTCATGATTATAAACAGCTGCTAAATGTAATGGTGTATAACCATTTTTATCTTGCATTTGTAGAACAATTGATTTAATTGATGGATCCGCATCAAACATTAATTGAACACATTCTAAATCATCTTTCATACATGCATAATGTACCGGTGTTGAATCATCATTTTGTTTAGCTAATATAAATGCATTATGCTCTAAACAAAACTAATAATAATTTGAAGAAGAAAAAAAGAAACAAATTTATCAATACCCCCCCGCCGACTTCAATGAAAAGAAACAAGCAAGAAGAACAAGTAAAGTTCCTACAAATAGAAGGCATCAAGTTTACTTACTTACTTCTGCCATTCCCAGTGAATCATAGGTGGCTGCTCACCAGCATTCTCCAACTCACTCGAGACATGTAATGGTTGAATCCATGATTCAATTGAAACTAGACCACCATGGTAAACTCGGAAGCAAATATATTTTACGTATATAGTAGTATCAAGTGTATCAACTGAGCTATAAACAAGGAGAATTCAAAGTATAATTCTGTTTAATTGCTTTCATTGTACTACAGGGGTTGGCCCTATGTCAAGCCCACATAGGTTGTTCTAGTTTCTGGGACGATCAATATACTCATTCTTCTGAAGTCACATTTCTACCCTGCCACTTATTCGCTTATTTATCTTGACTGTCACATGTATGTAGCTTATCTTTGTCTGACTGTAAATATCGTTTCACGCTTGATTAAATCAAGTTTGTTTACATTCGTTCTCCAGCACAGATCATTTCACTTCACTCTCTTCTCTTCACTTCTCTTTCTTCACTACGCTTCTTTGATCATTCGTCTGGATCGACGATTGGATAAGATATGCGTTCTCATATTTGACTTCCTTAATTGTGTTATTCACTAATGCAATTTCAGTCGATGCTTATATACAACGATAGTAACCATGCTACACAATAATAACACAACTGGTCAGTATATATATTAAGCTTACTTTAACCATATCTGAATTCCCTGATGTAACTGCTGCATGTAATGGAGTTTCACCTTCACAATCAGTTAAATGAATTAAACAATTCTCTTGTTGACTTCGTTGATAATCAGACTGATTTAAATCGATCGATTTCTTTTTTATATCAGATTGATTAAATTGAATTTGATTTTCTAAATCATATTTCACTATGTGATTATTATTATTATTATTACGTAATACATGGGTACGTTGTGTTGCCATAGTGATTGATGATTTCAGTCCATGTGATTCTATTGATCGATTTAAATTGTTCCCTTGTAAATAGGCTTCCATTTTAAATAATAAATTTAAACATTTACGACTAACATTAGCTATAGCAACATGTACCGGATAGGTATGCTCTAAATCATATGAGAATATATTAGCCCCTTTGTTTAACTATAAAGAATAATAAAGAATTCATCATAATAATAATGAATATGATAACATTCAGTTTTATTGAAAGAATCTTAAAGGTAACCTAATGAAAGTTGCATCTAATCAATATTGTTTCCTGATTTCAGAAAATTGATGCTAATATGGTGTGTGCTACTGATATCGATCGATATAAGTAGTATATATCATCTATCGAAATTGAAACACCTAGCAACAGAAAGTTAAGAAGATCGAAGAGAAAAGAATGGGAACAAAGAAATCAATGAAATCTGAGACGATTGATCGACATCTTCCAAATGAATTATCTACTGTATAATTCTTGGAATTTTGATAAGATGTTCTGGAATTGTTTGTTCAAATACATTCGATTGTCCCCCCCCCCCCAACTTGTGTTCTCCTTCACTACATTAAATGTATAAGAACTGAAGTATTCTGTGTTAGAATCGAATAGTTGAGATTGCAGTGAAAATAATATGAGAGTAGTATAGTGACAAGTTGTGTGTTTTTCAGGCTAAAAATTGTTAGTAATAAAGGTCTTAATAATATATTAAATGGTGAAATTTGATTGGAGATTCAATTCTCATTTTCGATTAGATCCTCATTAGGTTTCAATCTAATATAAAGTAATACTAATATGTCTATCGTATTCAACCCGATCTATGGTGATTCTCCAACTAAAGGATAAGTTACCTGGTTCTGCCATATCAATGTGTATCTACGAATTCAGATGATCCTGTGGAGAAAGCTATATCGGGACTACTATCAGAGAACTGAACCAAAGAGTTAGTGAACACCTCCCTTCGTGGTTAAGAAAAGTTACTGTCAAAACAATAAGCAGCTCGATTCTATCACACATGATCGATAGCGGTCATGTAGTAGACAGAAATAAGTCATTTAAAGCTATTTATCGTATTCCTGCTAGTTTTCCTTATGATGTTCGATTTCGTCTCTTACACATGTCAGAAGCTATAGCAAATTCGACCCAACAATGCTCATTTTGACATCACATTTTATAAAGTTCTGAACGTTCACTATAATGGCAGCTATAACTGAGTTTGAACTATCCAAATTGTCAACCTATTTGATATCGGACTATCGATGGGACCTTATACATTCGTTATACCTATTGCGAGACAAGTCAGCCAAACAAATCCACTTCTTAGTATTGATGAATAACTATCAAACTATTAGAGGACTCAACCTCTTAAAAAATATGCAAACAAAAAGCAGTAACTCGACTGAGGGCTACAGTTAAGGATTATCTAATGTCAGATGGCGGTTGGTGGTAGTTGACAAGAAACCCTGTATATAGGTTTTATGCCGCCTGCCACTAGCCAGCAAAGGTATACTTGTAATGTTGGGAGAACTGATGCTTCAAGGAGGATTAGATCCAATTTTATGCAGCTTCATAATCAAAGATGTCATTGAACTATTCATGCTACAATTAACCTCTTGTAGGACTGAATATACTTATAATTGACGGGTGTCATGTATATCTGGTCCTTCTTAGCACTCTGATTGTGAAGTTGAGTTTTCTGTAGTTTACGTCCAACCACTACGCCACATTTCAACATAGTAATAGTAATAATTGAGCATTAAGTAGATTGTTATGAATAATAATAATAATTGCATTAGTCTAATCATGATATCCCTGAAACTTTGCTTAAATTCAATCTTATTTACTTTTATCAGAAGAGGTTTTGTAGAGATTTTTAGACATTTCACTAGTTGAAACATGAGTCAGTTGAAGCTAAACCACCATGGAAAACCTAGAAGCACTAGAAAGCCATTTCGTTCTACTATGGGATTCCTCAGCAATGCGCATCCACGATCCTGCCCCGGCGAGATTCGAATCCATTAGGCCACTGCTGAAGAGTTCCATGCTGGGACGAAACGGCAGTCCAGTGCTTCCAGGTTTTTTATGGTGGTCTAGGTTCAACTGATTCATGATTCCAACTAGTGTTATTTATTTTTAACAGGACATTTTATAAACAAACCAACGAAGTGGCAATGGGATCGCCCATGTCCCCGATAGTAACCAATCTAGTTATGGACACATAGGATGGCAATTTAGTTTTACGTCCATGGTATAACAGAATTAAAGTTTATTAGAAAACAACGAACACCCTTCGAAATACTTTACTTCGCTTACAAGAAAAACTCCGGTTTATGTCAACACAGAACTGTGTCTACAAATTACGATGTGTCGACTGTAATGCCTTCTATATTGGAGAGCCATCTTGTGAAGGCTTGACTCGAGCCAAATAAAATCTTAGGTACACAACGAAACTACCTAATAATCCTGTAAAACTGAATAGACTTCAAATTAAATTGACGAAAGCAGTTCACACCATTGTCAACAACCACCAAATCGATATCAAAAACATCAAACTAATACAAAAAGGCATTTCCAACTACAATGAATGACGAGTAACTGAAGTGATCCATATGGTGCTTAATCATACTGCCCTCATTAGAAAAGAAGGTCTCTTTATTCATCCGATTTGGACTATCTATCCAAGCTTATATGTCTGATTCTATTCACATATCACACTTTTAGCGGATATACAAATTAAACTCTATCCATTCTCAATACAAAGATCCCACATTTTTTCATCCATGACCCAACAAACATACATACACACACATCCCTACAAACTTACATACATGTCACTTGGATTGATTTCGATCTGGTTATTTATTCTCTGAAGAAGTGGCTTACATTGAGTTACGAAACGTCGGTAAATCTACCTTTTCTACTCATTGAATTCAGAAAAATATTAGTTTCCAACACTTCTCACACTTAGTTTCATTGTCAAAACGGTACTATGTTGTTTTGAATGATCGAAGTGAATTTGTTTGACAAAACAACAACAACAACAACAATACGAAGGTCTTGAACTCACAAGTATCTCCATACATTCCACACTGTCATGTATACAACAATAATGTAATGGTGATGCTCCTCGTTCACCTTCTGCATTTACATTAACACTATCCAATTCTAATAATGCCTAAAAAATAATAATAATAACGAATCACCTATTGTTAATCATCTCATTGTTTATCATTAGATTATCAAAAATGCTCACTACTGACTGGCTCTAGGATGTTTTCCTGAAGTTCTGGTAAAAAACCGTGGCTAGTAGAGTTTAATCTGTGTCGAATAGAGATAGGTATCTACCTTAAACAATGAATGAATGGTTGTTTAGCCATACAAGGCTCAATGGAATTTAGATATTAACAGTTTTAGATGTCAGCTTAGTGATATAGAAGTTAAGTGTTCGCATGCAAGACCGAAGGTCCTGGGTTCGAATTATGAGTGTGAGATCGTGGATGAACAATGTTGAGGAGTCTCATACTGGAAAGAAACAGCCGTCCAGTGCTCTCAGGTCTCCAATGGTGGTCTAACATCAATCGGCTCATGATCTCATATGAATGATTTCAATATAAATAATAGTGTAGTGGGTGTATGCTGAGATACGTTAAACCAATATACTACTCAATGCAGAAAATGCACAGTGACTTTGTCAAATATGATTTTCATATGTTGAAAACATTATTTGCATATTTTCCTTGAATTAACCTTTACATACTTCATCATTCTTCCAATTCTGTGGTTGTTCTTCCGATTTTTGTCTGTTTTTCTCCCTCTTCTGTTTATTTCAATCTTCTGCTAGTAAGCATTTTACTTCCAATTCCTAATACATACTACTTATATCTGTGCGCATAAGTAGTATACATGACAATAGTTCGTAAAACTCATTGTAAAATTAACCAAAATTGATGGTAATTACTCATTTTAGGGCATAAGAATACAGTGAAAACATCAAGTGATATGTAAATTTTGTGATTTCAAAGGTTTATGTTTAGACACAGTCATCTCTGTGTAATTTTATAATTGAATTCATAAGTCAATTAAGGCTAGACCATCATAGAAAATCTGAAGGCACTAAACAGCCGTTTCATCCCACTATGGGACTTTTAAGCACTACACATTCATTATATCGCTCACGGGATTCTAACCCACGACCTGTCGGTCTCGCGCGGAAAACATAAACTCTAGACAGCTGAGGAGTCCCGTACTAGGACGAAATGGACGTCCAGTGCTTCCAGGTTTTCTATGGTGATCTAGCCTAAATTCTTTTAAGTAATCCTACTACCTTCTACAAATCGATTACAGCATTTCAAAGAACCATTAATTAAATATTCCATGATCATCTCATCTCATTTATTGTTGAGTCGGCTTGCAGGCACGATGAACAACAGCGGTCATCCTTGTATCAATAAGATGAAAGCGCTGGCTCGAAGCTACGCATACTGGCCTACGATGGATCAAGATATCGAAACCAGATGCCGCAATTGTTCATCGTGCCTACAAGTAGATCCCAGAAAGAGATCTTATTCGGGGGAGGTGTTGAGTCGGCTTCCGGAGAACTTCAACGAAGCCTCCAGAGGCCTAAAAGGAGCCGAAGGGTCCTAGCCAATGAGAGTATGGTAGAACGTTCTAGAATTCCAACGTGGCGTGCTACTATTGGTCGGTAGCATAATATGTCGTTAACGGATTGGCTGGAATATGATGTTGATTTAACAGACGCCAACATCTATAAATACCCTTGATTTTCTGTACAAGAATGAACCTTGGGATACTACACGACCGCCCTTTCGATTTATTGATAGGTTTAGTAGTTATTCCAAGAACATTTGTAGTGCTATTGGACCTTAACCACATATTCCTCAAAGCCAAACACGAGGCGACTGAAAATAATAGATATTCAAGATTTAGCGCGGAGAAAAACTCATCAATGATGAAAGCGGGAAGACTTAATGACCCACCTTTACAGGCGTGGTCATTCTGTATAACTTGCTTTTACTTATATTAATTATATTGTATTATCTCTAGCCTGATTGTGTTCCGATACGATGAGTTAGTGTAGACAATGATGTGACTTTCATGTAAGATCTTATAGATTAACCAGTTACAACATGATAAATCTACAATGTTAGGATTAGGTCTATTAATACAACAGTACTAATAATGAAGTAGACCAGAAATCGACACATTTCCACCTTTGTATTCTGACTGTATACAAAGTTCATGACCAAATTAGTTGTTTGTTTTGATTATTCATTAAGCTTCATTTTCATTTCTGGATCATTTTGAACCTTTTCGGTTAACCGATCACAAACAAGTTCATTAAAACAAGATAATTCAACACTTGTATAACACTCTAAGAACTTTATATGTACAATGAAGTAAGTGTGGATGATGTTGTCCAGATAGACAATGAATAATCCACAATTAAACTGTTCAATACAGAAAACACTAAGTTCATAATGTCAAGACCACTGTCATTCAAACACAAACATTGACGAAATAGTTCATGTAAACATTATGATTCTAGAGTGAATCTACATGTGAAATTCTAATGAAACATATGAGTTACATATTCCATGGAAGAAAGTTAACATGGTTAGAACATTCTAAATGACGGTAACTAAGGAAAGATGTAACGCCAATTATCAACAGCAGTCCCTCCCCCGAACACACACACACACTTACGTACATATACATTCTGAACAATTTACCTTTAATATACCGAAATAATTTTTTTCACATGCTATATGTATTGGTAATAGACCATCTTTATTTGGTTTAGTTGGATCAGCATTAATACTTAATAGATAACGTACTAAAAGTAAATGTCCTTCTTTAACAGCTAAATGTATTGGAAGATTACCATATTGATCTGGTTCATTAATCCCTATTTAAATAAAAGAATAACAAAAAACAATACAGAGAGTCAATATTGACAAATGGATAAAATGACTGTGATAAGTAGGTCATCCGGCTCTGTTGTGAGATAGTAACTTACTGAAGACAGTGGTGGATATGTCGCTCAGTTTAGGATATGAGTTGAAGTTGGACATTAACACCATTGGATATCGTCCAGATCAGTGGTCTAGAGGTTAAGCGTTTTTTAGCAAGACCGGTAGTTCCTGGGTTTGGATATCGCGAAGTGGGATTGTGGATGCACATTTCTGAGGAGTCCCACATTGGGACGAAACAGCCGACCAGTGCTTCCAGATTTTCCATGGTCGTCTAGCTTCGATTGACTCATCATCTCAATTATCGAAATAAATAATTCACTTGGTATTATTTGATTGTATCTTCCCATTGTTTTTAGGGACTACAATTGATCAGTCTCTTGTAGGCATATGTACATCCTATGCGTATTGCCTCAATATTATCTTCATTAACAAGCATTATAAACAAAGAAGTATAGTGGCTATTAGTGGAATTCAGGACGCGCGTTTCGTCCTATTTAGGACTCGTCAGCCAGATGTACCAAAACCTCAGAGTTGATGTTTACTCTGGAACTGCAACCCAATACCGTTCTCTTCAAACGCCATCGCGTTATCCACTCAGCTATTGAGTTCCTGATAGTCACTTACTTGTACAATGGGTTGAAGTTTAATTCATTTTTTCTATTGATTGTTTGTAATATTGAGGCAATCTGAACAAGATTCACATATACCAATAAGACAATGATCAATTCAATTACAGTTCTAAACTTCAATACGAAGATTCAAACAACCAACACAAAAATGAAGTAATATCAATTATTTGAACTGCCTTTAGAAGAAATCATAAAACTCATAATACACTGGATAATAGACAATGCTCTGACTACTACAACTATAGTCGTTGACATGGTTTACAAGTACAATGATATCAACACTGCGTATATACACCACCTAAATATGAATATGATTTGAATATGTCAGCTAATAATAAAAGGTCAGTTGTAAACAGGAACATTATCGTAAACATCAAGAAGATAGAAATCTCATGACCGAAATGTATGCTGATCTCTTTAACTCTCTATCTAACATGAAGAAACTAATAAGAGTTTAAAAGATATTGAAATCTTTGAACAAAATGTTTTGACATTCCAATAATTAAACTTTTATTTAGATCCGTCTATGTCTTCATCGGTTATATATGTAATATACCCTTGTGGGTTAAGGCAGTTTTTCATTGGTTTTCAAGAGAACCGGACATCATCCAGACTTTCACGTGACAACCCAAATAATACAGCTCAATCCTGATTCACAGGAGAACCAGACACTACATAGGCTTTAACGCTACAATCTGAATAGTAAAGCTCAATCCTGTGGTGGAACCACACAGGTAACCAGCACCCTGGTGGACCATTCGCACCATTCATATACACGCTCACATCACATGTATAGTTATTCCGATCATTGATCGCGTAAATTCCTTATGCACAGCATGAATAGGCCAAAACTGACCAATTCCGATTACACGATAGTCAAACTCATTAATGTTAACAATGGTGACATGCCTTAAAATGTCCCGATGACAATGGCCCTTAAGAACACTGTAAAGTAACTACCAGTATGAATGAAATCGGTTAACCAACAAACCAATTTTGTGCATGAACAATCGGCAAAACTTGCCAAAGCAATACTGAGTCATCCACAATATCAATGGCGAACCTCCTATCTCATATAAGACCTTCAGCTTTATTGGGGTCAACTTTAAAGTGATTACAAAAGATTCTCGTAAATTGTATGACTGTATGTTTCTATTATTATTATTATCAGCACAACCATGAAGCTATTCTCACCGAAATTCGACTTTCGATTATCTATTACCAGTTGAATTATATTACTTACAGTCGGATTACTTTAAGTCTTAATTAAAGAGTGTACTTTGATAGTGATCGATTAACGACAGTGATTGTTTGGCGATCATTAACAGACAACAGTTTTTTTTGTTATCTGTATGTTGTTCAAGCGAGACTGTAATTTATGGACGAATCAATCAGATTTAAGAAAACAGCTCTTGGATTTCAGCGCGAAATCAATTCATCCATTTGTCTAAGTAGCTCCTTGTCATTTTAACTGATGTCAGTTAGTGATGAAAACCCGTAATCTAATTTCTAACCTTAACCATCAACTGTAACTCACAATCCTTATCATTCATATTGACTTAAAACCCTCACATATCCCTAGTCAATTGGTGGACATTCTCAAGATCACTTTAGCGTCATCACTCAATGATCCTCCATAAATGATAGTCTCACCGTTGTCCACATAGTACTTGTGTAAAGAAATGTATTACATAATTATTACACTTACTTGCTTTATGTGCAACTAAAACACTTGCACAATCCAAATAACCTTTCATTGCAGCATAATGAAGTAAAGTACGTTGATTTGAGTCACATTGATTTATTATTAATGGATTGTAAGCTAAGATTTCAACGAGTCTTTCTGTTTCATTTGCTTTAACATACTTCATTAAAAAAGAAAGAAGTAAAATAGGAATTATAATTAAAATATAATTCAATTCATACATATATAAATACATTTCTATATAGAGTGTGGTATATGCTACTGATATCGACAAATATAAGTAGTATCTATCATCAGTCGAAAATGAAATGCTTAAAGGCAGAATGTTAAGAAAATCAAAGAAAAGAGAACAAGAACAAAGAATGATTGGTGTAGAAACAAAAGAACAATGAAGTCCAAGATGACTGATTGACATTTTTCAGGAGGAAATATTTACTAAATGATTCTCAGAATTTACTAATTGTATGTTCTAATATATTCGATTGTCCCCACTTGTGTTCTCATTCACTACAAGGGTATTTGTTGCCGAACTGGTCTCCGACAGCATTTAAAGTCATGGGGAGATGAACAATCGTTTCGTTTTAGTGTAATACCCTTCAGTAGACCATAATGAGTGTTTAGTGCTGTTCTCTACATATGAAAATAACCTAACCAGAACTATTTCATTGAAAGGATAAACACAAGGTAATTGAATGACATAATTATTCAAATGAGTGTTTATAGATTGTTCTAGAAATTTCTTGTACTGAATGTTTGTACCCAGAAATATTTGTCAAATCAATCAGTTGAATATGAAGAGATATGACAATGAAGTATTTTGAGAAAATCATCTGTATAACTGAATGTTCCATTGAAGGGAGTCTTCTTGTCAACTAAACGTAAAAAAACAACATAAATCGTCCCAATCTAAATTGTATTCAATAGAATTTTTCCAGGTAAACTACTAGAACTGAAAATACAATACCTTTAATGTAGTCTACATAGTAGGCAAATCAATGATGATCTAGTTTAGGTACTTGTGTGGTGTGAGCTACTTATATTGATATAAGTAGTATATAACGTGCGTTAAAAGAACATAATGTCCGGCAGCAGAAGATGGCGAAGATCAAGAAAGGAAGAGCAAGAGCACAATGGAATTGTAAGAAAACGCATGTACAATGGATTAGTGTTTGCAACGGGAACAGTACAGTTTCATATGATGGAATGATATTTTGCAAATTGACGATTGACTTTATGGTATTCACATTATATTGAGATAGTCTTTAATTTTTGTGCTGGATACAATCGATTGTCCCCACCCGTGTTCTTGCTCACTGCACTTGTAACTGAGGATTAAATACCTTTTTATTGAATTATTGACTATTAGGTAATTGAAATCGAACCTGCTATCTTAAGGTGGTGTCGTTCCAGGGTGAGACTATAATTTGTGGACGACCTTTGAGCAACACTAGACTGACCTTGAGAGTGTCCACTTAATAACTAGGACCAAATGTGGATTATAAAGCTGTGTGTGAGGAATTAGAATTATGATTTACAATTGATGGTTAAGATTAGAAATTCGATTGAGGGTTTTCGTCATGAACTGACATCAGCTATAGTGAGTGAATTTCGCGCCGAAATCCAAGACTTCATATCCTTAATCTGATTGGTTCATTCATAAAGGATAGTCTCGCCTTAATCTCAAACTGAGATCGAAAGATTAATTCAATGTAAACTGATAATATTCACTTTTAGTTTGTATAAGAGAATTCCCAGTACCATAAGTAACCTTTCAAACATCTTTGATTGTACATATCCCATATGACTATGAGTAAAACCATTAAGAATAGGATTATATTAGGTATGGTGAAGAAGATTTTTAGCTCAGGTGGATGATTTCCAAATGTTCTGACGTCAGTGTCTTTTGTAGCTTCATCATTTGGTCCTCTATGACGTGTTGGTACTTGGAGATCCCGTAGTATGTATACGTTATCATTAGGCGTACCATTTTTCTTCCAGGTATTTTCTATTCTAATAGGCAATTGATTAGAAATCTATATCTTACACTTGTTAGTAGAACATGCTGGCGAAGACATTCATGGAGAAAATATCGTTGTTCTCGAGTGGAAGCTTGTGTTTTGCCATTTTCGAACAACGAGAAGCGTATTACACTCATATGATTTTGTGATGGTGTCGTTCAGAAGAACGATGAAAGCTCCACGACCAAACCATCCAGCTCAGAGAACAAAACTCCATCAAAATTATATTAGGTATGTATATTATTTGGTGACTTATACTTATTCTGTCCATTTCTAATGCCAAATCTAGACTACATTACATATCGATGATGTTATTATTATAACTTGTACCCTATTAATATATATAACGTAATGATACCATCAGTTAGAGAATAGTGATTTATCTGCCAAACCAATAACGTGTAAACATGTACGAGCAGTCTAAACTCCTTATCGGTCCTTCTTCTTGCCTAACTCTGCCTGCTCATTGAGTTCAAAGTACCGATCTCAACCTCCACAAGATGAATGATATATCGTACTATAAAATGGAAAACAACATTTGTACAAGATTTAGCCAAAGGTGGATGTGAATGAGTTGGGCATAATTCAGAAACGGCCGATCGTATAATAATAATAATAATAGTTCATAGGTCAAAATAAAGCTAATAATATGAGGAATATGAATGTGCATAGTTTAGCTACGCTTATTAATTAGCTCCTTACAAAGTAGCAATCTGAATTTGTATTATTCATATCATTACTCTAAAGGTATTATCATTAGATGGTGGTTGGAGGTAGTCGACAGGAAACCCTAGACCCGGGTTTCGTGCTACTTGGCACTCGTCAGCAAGGTGTACCTTTAATCTTGAGGGAGCTGGTGCTTCCTGGCGGATTCGATCCCGTGTCACCCAGCTTCACAGTCAGAGACGTCACCACTGAGATATCCTATCGACTACCTCCAACCACCATCTAAATCTCAATACATAGTGCCCGCAGTGTCGAGTCACCTAGACTGGTGGCCACATTGCATCATGGTCGGTAGCATTCGATCTGCATTAATAAGGACTTGACACACATGAAATTGGTCACCACCCATTGATCAGTCAATTGTGATCCACAAGTGAATTCAAAGAAGCTCTAGGAAGCTTAAAAAGAGCCGAAAAAACACTATCCAATCATCTTTTAAAAGAATATTCTAAAATTTCTACATATAGTTTTCTTGTTAGACGAATGCTCAAAAATTCGCTATACATAGATTGAATAGAATATTTTTAGCTCTTTCTAATCTTCTTAGAGCTTCCTCGAATTTATTATCACTAATTACATATATAAATAATGGATTGGTTGAGGTTACACATTAACACCATTGGATGCCAGCTCAGTGATCTAGTTGGTTAAGCACCCGGTGCGAGATTGATAGGTCCTGGGCTCGAGCCTCGGGGGGTGCAGGATCGTACATGATCACTGCTGAGGAGTCCCACAATGGGACAAAACGGTCGTCCAGTACTTCCAAGTTTCCCATGGTGGTCTTACTTCAATTGACTCATGATTTCAATCAAAAACTTAACAATCTCCACAACCCCTAAACTGATAATTACCATGTGCTCACTAGTGACCAGCTTGGTGAGAAAATTCTCGAAGTTCTGGTGAGAAGCTGTGACCAGTGGAACTTATCCGTGTTGGGTAGAAACACGTGTCTACCTCAGTACAGTAGAAGATGGTCGCGCAATTTCGTGGATTGGTTGAGGTTAGATATTTGCACCATCTAATGACGGCCGGCTCAATGGCGCGCGTGACCGATAGATCCTGGGTTCGAACCCCGCAGGGTGCGGGATCGTGGATGCGCACTGCTGAGGAGTCCCGTACTAGAAGGGAACGGCTGTCCAGTACCTCCAAGTTTCCCATAATGGTCTAGCTTCAATTGACTCATGAGTTCAATCAAAAAGAAGGATTATTATTAATAATCAACTTACATTAAATATAAGATTTGGATTCTCTAATAATTCACCACGATTTGTTAAATGAATTAAATTTTCTTCTGGATTTATTTTATTATTTCTACATTTTCGATGATAATTGTTACCATGGCAACAACAATAAATTTTCTGTGATGAATTCATTTTATATTTGATTTGATTTAATTTTTTCGATGTTTCTTCTGTTAGCAATTGTGCTTCATTAAGACTTAATTCATAATTATTTATATTTTCATTAAATGAATATAATTTAGATGATTTACGTGAATTACATAATGGTAATATTGTAGTAGTATTAGTAGTAGTATCTAGGTGATGAATAATGTTTTGTTCATTTGAATTCATGCCTTGGATACTATTACGATGCAAATGTTTTTTATTGATTATATTTAAATGAGATATTGATTGATGTTCCAAATGTTCTGCTTTAATTACATTGATATCAGATATTGAATTATTATTGTGATTGGAATGATATGAACTATATGGGTGGTGGAGGGGAGAGGGAGAGGAGGGGGGAGGAAATGAGGGGAAATTCGAATTAGGACATAAATAACTATGATGTATTCTATCTACACTAATAAGGACTAGACAAGCATGACATTGATCACCACCCAGTGATCAATCAATTGTGATTACATCTCAGTCCTACAGGAGGTTAGTCGCGGTTCGGATAGCTCAGTGGTAACGTCTCTGACTGTGAAGCTGGGTGACGCGAGATCGAGCCCACCAGGGAGCACCAGTTCCCTCAAGATTACAGGTACACCTTGCTGACGAGTGCCATGAAGCACGAAACCCGGGTTCAGGGTTTCATGCTGACTACCTTCACCCACCATCTAAATAACTAAGATGCATTATGGTTTATTTTGTTTTAATTAATTAGTGGTTAAGTGCTCACGCCCGAAACCAGTAGGTCCTGGATTCGAGTCTCGCAGGGGGCGAGGTTGTGGATACGCTGTGCTGAGGAGTCACACAATAGGACGAAACGGCTGTCCAATGCTTACAGGTTTTCCATGATCGTCTAGCTTCAACTGACTCATGATCTTAACCATTGAAATTACTACAACCTCCACAATACCCATCTGATATTAATCAATTATTTATTTATTTGAACACATAAATAGGTGGTTTTCTTAGGGATCCACATCCGGAGCCTTGAAGCTCAAGGTTTGATCCACAAGGCAATGGAGCAACATCAGAAGATACAGTCTCATGGTAGTCGGTGAAAAATAATTGATTCATACACCGTTTATTGTCACCGAATCCTGGAACACATGTACATCATTGGTATAGAATCAGGGCTTTTAACTCGTATAAGTGGATATTTCGTGTTCATCAAGCTGATTAAAGCGCTGGACATTCGCTTTTCATTCTCTCGATATCATAAACAACAGTAATACCGCGAGAAGATAGCCAGTAGGAATTCACTGGTGGTAGTTGTAAAGCAGTTACCCATCAATGTTACTGTGAATTTGATTAGACATTATTATGAATTGAAAACTGATGACCAATAGTAATCTGTAAAATCTTAATGAACGATCGTAAAATCACGAATCTGAGAAATGAATTTCGCTGATGTTTATATGTATGATTGTTATTACTAAAAATTGTTATATTAATAGAATGAACGTCAAGGCGGTTCTACTGTACGGAGCTCAAACTTGAACAACTACTACATCCATCATCAAGAATGTACAAGTATTTATAAATAGCTGTCTACGCAAGATAATCAACATCCATTGGCCGGATACCATCAGCAACAGCCTTCTGTGAGAGAGAACAAACCAACTTCCAGCTGAAGAGGAAATTAGGAAAAGACGATGGAAATGGATAGGACATACATTGAGGAAATCATCAAACTGTATCACGAGGCAAGCCCTAACTTAGAATCATGAAGGGAAGTGAAAAACAGGAATACCAAAGAACACATTACATCAGAAAATAGAAGTAGACATGAAAAAGATGAATAACAACTGGAAAGAGCTGGAAAGGATTGCCTAGGACAGAGTTGGATGAAGAATATCTGTGAGCGGCCTATGCTCCTCCACGAGGAGTAACAGGCGTAAGTAAATAATAAAACAGAATAAATATGAAATACTTCATATAGAACTTACTTATACATCATTTTATTCCGAAATAATTTGAAATCTAATACATAAAGCTACATTTATATACCTAAAGTTAATGAGTAGTATATTGTTTATTCTGTTTAATATTAAACTTGAATAGACATAATGCAGTTCATTTCCATTTACTTAATAAATAAATAAGGATATGGTAATTGTTTTTATTTCCCTTTTTTTAGATTCATTTACTTATCTTAAGTGTTTATTCTAATTAAATGATATTTCATAGGAATGAACAATAGTGTCATTATTCTTTGTATTGTCTCTTTCATAATGAAATGTTTATCAATGGAATCCATCTTGGTCTTACTAATTACTGACATAGATATTTCTATGCATAGTTCTTTTAATTCTACATTAATTCATTAATGTAATCTACTCGATTGAAAGATATGACATGATAACTCTGCTTCTTCTTCTTCTTCTTCTTCTTCTTCTTCTTCTTCTTCTTCTTCTCAATGACTATTATTCATTATACATTCATGTCAAATGATAAAAGTAATCTGAACATCTTCTTTTAATGATAATAAACACTGAACATAATTGAACAGTTAGCAATTATCATTGAATAATTAAGAAGAATTTATAAAATGTCATGTTAATTGACAAGATATTTTGTTTGATTATATTAAGATATCATTTAATATTTATTATGATGATGAATGAAAGATCTGCGCTGTAAACTTTTAAGTGATATTTTTATACTACTTATGAGTAGGCTGAGATAATAAGAATAATTTTTCAGTGAGGTAATAGAATGAGATGTTGGGAAATATTTGTAGGTCAGGTGAATGATTTGATAGAGTTTTGTTCTCTGAGTTGTATAATTTGCTCATGAAGCTTTCATCGTGCTCCTGATTAACACCATTAATACAAACGTCAGGTAGAAGTGCTGATGATGTCGTTGAGAAGAACGATGAAAGCTTCACGATCAAACTCTACAGCTCAGTGAACAAATCTCCATCAAAAAGGCAATAGAATAATTACAAAGATAAGTAATCATAAGTCAATAATTTACTTAATTCTTATTATCTATGAAATTATAAATGAAGAAGTGATGGATGAAAGATTTTGTTGAACACTTGATTTATTTCATAACTAAGTTCAAAGATGAACAGTGGCTAGTAGTGGTATCGAGGACGCGATTTTAGTCCTGTTTAGAACTCAATAGCCAAGACTCAAACCCATGTTTACGTATAAACCTTGTGACTTAAGACAATATCTAGGCAGTACACACAGTATACACTTATATCAATAAGAGATTGATCAATTTCAGTCCTGAACATCAATGCGAAGATTCAAGTAAACAAAACCAAGTCAATTTACAACTAAGTTCTGAATTGTCTTTATTTGAATTTAGTTTTGTGGATGGTTAATAAAAGCGAATAAGCACTGAAGTCATCTAGTTAAAAGTTAAATAATGACTTAAGAATCACTTAAAATGTCTAAATGATACGTGTTGGGAAATATAGATTCATAGATTTCTACTGAATAAGTTTAGTTCACTCGTGTATCCTGACAGTTGTGTTTCCAAGTAGTTATGAACTGAGATCTTCGTTACTTTTGTTCTTATTGAATTTAACTGTAAAAGCTTCAAAGTATAAATCGAGAAAACTAAAGGAATTTAAAGGTGATGGAACATATGACGTAATCAAAAACTGTTTAACGACACCGATTAATAGAACATTTAATGCGGTAAAACTGAGAATAACGTTTCCTAGTAGAAACTTGTTTTCTGTATCTATAAAAGATAAGCTCCTCTGTCTAGTCGCCTTCATGTGCATCTACCAGTTCATCTGCTCTTGTGGAGCAAGATACGCTTGCCGTAGACAGCACTCGCTTTCAACTCAAAAACAGGAACATGTCCACGTTTGGTTCTACAAGGATGAGAGGAAAACAGTTGACTAATTCTTCTACTAATTCACAGTTTGATTTGATGGTAGTTTATACGATTCGTTCAAATCTACCTGGATTTCTTCGTATCCAACTTCTAAAAATAGCCGAACCTCTTGCCATCCATGAACTCAAGCCAGAACTATGCATATAAAAGAAGTACATCTTATCGTTATTGATACTTAGGCCTTTCTTCTTCTTATTATTATTACTGTATATCTCCCTTTACTTATGTCTCATATTCTCATTATTTTATTCATAATTGCTCGTTATATCACGTTATCTACTTTTTACACCTCTATGACCTTTAATGACCTTTGACTATTTTACCAAAAAACATTTTAAATAGAGAGAAGTTTTGTGAATATTATAGTAATTTTAATAGTTGAGATCATGAGTCGATGTAAGCTAGACCACTATGAAAAACCTAGAAGCATTGAACGGTCGTTTCGTTCTAATATGGGATTTTTGAGCAGTTAACACCCACGATCCGTCATGCGGGACTCGAACACATGACCTTCCGTATCATGTGTGAACGCTTAACCTCTAGTTCACCTCTAGATCAGCATCCAACGGTATTAATATCTTGCTTCAACCGCCCCCGTGATTGGTTGCTCAACCACTCATCCATTGTTTGAGGTAGATACCTATCTCTACTCGACACGGATTAGACTCCACTGGTAACAGCTTTTCATTACAATTCCAGGAAATCATCTTGGATCCAGTCACTAATGAGCATATGATAATTATTATCAGAATGATAGTTTGTGAGGATTGTAGTGATTTTAATAATTGAATTCAACTATTAATTTGTTGTCAAGATGAATTTGAAGAAGTATTATTTATCGTTTCTAACGATTTACATTAACTAAGGTTATTTATGAACGTAAACGGTTTATTCATCCATGAATAAAATTGTTTCTGCTGTGACTTTAAGCCCGGCTAGTTATCATATGATACATTCGCCAATCGAAATATGACTTAAACAATCTTACTACTGTGCCATAACCAATGACGTTCGACTGGTATGAGCAGCCTATCATCCTTATTGATCCTTTGTTCACCTAGCCCGTCCAATTGAGTCCAGAACGCCAATAACAGCTTCCACTATGCGAATCAGTTATTTCAAATATACTTGGTCTATATACCAGCCTAAACAGGCCACATCACCCCCATACCGTGTCACTCAGCTTCACAGTCAGAGATGTTAACAGTGAGGTGTCCGTGCCGCGACTGACCTATTATAGGACTGAGATGTATTTACAACTGATTGATCACTGGGTGCTTATCAATGTCATATTTTTCAGGTTCTATAGACTACCTCCAACTATCTCAACATAGCGCACGCTATGTCACGTCACCTAACCTAGTGCTACAATGAAACGTGGTCGATAGGATTTGGTATGCACTAAGAAGAACCTGACATACAGGCCGCCGAACGCCCTGGTACGGTCGAGGGCAG